GTCATGAACTTGAGGTGATTCAAATCCAAGTTCGAAGCTGCTGATGCTTATGGCGTACAGGTAAAATAATTAGCTGGTCAGTAGATCTACGTATGAAACTCAGCTTGCTACCTTAGACGTGCTGGTAGAGATTCATGACGGCAAATAGCAAATGCAGAAATGATGTGGCATGAATGTATGTTGGGTGTTGACGGCGGAGCACCCATTGGGGGTGGTCTGCAGTCTTCTTCCAACACAGAAGTATATGAATCAGGTGAAGGAGTCACTGCACTTGTCTTGGAGAGTATGGAAGCTCCGACACTGTCAGTAGGTGCTGGTTAAGTGCACTGTCGTTCAGATGCACGGGGGCACACTGTCGTGGGACGGCTGGAACGCATCATGGCTGGCTGGTATGTTTGATTAGTGTGGTTGTTTCACACATGACGATGAATAGCAAGTTGAAAGAATGGAGCAGCAAGATAAGGTCTGCGTGCTCATGCTCTACAATGCCGGTAGGCGGTCAAAGATTACCTACCGTTTGAACCGGAGTTGACGACGTACCGTGAGAAACCAATATGTTGAGCAACCTGCAAAACCAATCTGCTTTCTCTGCATGTGACTCGCTTCAGATGTATCTTGATTTACCATTGCAAGCTTATTGACACATTTAGGTCATATTTGTTGATGTTAGACCCTATTTTACTGACTTGTAAAATTTTGTACACACTTTTTCTGGGTGAAAAAATACATGCAAAGCAACCCCACGCTGTGTCTCTCATGTTTGTGTTGTGCTTTCAAGAAGTTCATATATGGATAGAGGACATACAGAGTGACAAAATGAGACCATGCACACTTCAAAACTCGCCAGGGCAACGGAATGAAAGCCTTTTTTACTTTCATGTAAAATTATTACTAATCACCTCGTACATAACAGCTGTCCACAATATTTGCGGGCTCCTGTATCTGTCCCGTACCGTACCAATATTCGTCGTATTATGCATACGACTCCCTGATGTAGAGTGGGATTTGGAAAGAAATAGGGAGACGAGGAGGAAATTAAATTAGAATAGACGCCGATAAGGTGATAGGATGCGTCAGCATAAACATACTTTGGAAGAGAGATCCTGTCGTCTCCAAAATAAGCGTGAACGAGCGATTCAGTGCCGGTCACAGGAAACGTCGGAAGAGAGATCCCGTCGACTCCAGAACGCCCGTGGTCGGTAGAGTCCGGCGGTGCCAGGCAACGTCAGGACAGACATCCCGTTGAGTCCAGAACGCCCGTGATCGGCAGAGTCTAAGCCGGTCCCAGGAAACGTCAGGACAGACATCCCGTCGAGTCCAGAACGCCGTGATCGGCAGAGTCAGCGCCGGTCCCAGTAAACGTCAGGACAGACATCCCGTCGACGCGCAGAAAAACTAAATCTGCAGCCTCTTTTGCCGTCGAACAGGATACGTATTTATATAGGAGACTGTAAAGTTATGTAATGTCCAAATTTCGACGTGAGCAGCAGGTCACTCGCGTTGATTTTTTCGACGTGCGAGCCAAATAACGCGAGCTGAACTTTCGCGTCGCAGACATCCCGTCGACGCGCAGAAAAACTAAATCTGCAGCCTCTTTTGCCGTCGGACAGGATACGTATATTAGGAGACTGTAAAGTTATGTAATGTGCTCCTCAGGCAACCATGCATTCGGCGTCGTCATTGGCTCAACAGGTCAATGTAGATGTATTACTACAAAAAGGCCAGAAAATCCGATTCCTGTATTAAAATCAACTAATGTTCGCTGGCGATTTAATTTCGCTGATTTCGCCGCTTGGTACCAACCGGACAAAGTAAATCGCAGGCCAACGTTTGTCATATAGGCAAATGATGCATGATTGAGCAATGGATGCATGTGAGAGCAAAGATACCGATCGTTTTCAAATTTGACGTGAAACTGCGCGTCACGTCGGAAATAACGTGCATCTTAACCTCTCTAATCAAGAGGTTTCTATTTCTCATCGGCCAAAATTTGTTGATTTACAATAATAAGGAGATAAAAATTAAAGAAGGAGCAAAACAAAAGTAGATGATTATTAGAGAAACAACAATCCGCAATAAATTCTGCAAATACTTTTGCCTAACTCATAATATTCAAACCGATTGAAACGTTTTTGCAATACAGTGATGTGGCCAATGAACGGAAAAAGACAATTCCATCAGTTCTTATAACATGTACGATGAGCTAGGCAAAAAAGCATAAAAGCATAGCGTAGGGCCCTGAGCTTCCAAGCTCTCTCGTTTAACAAAGGGAGAGTTTTGGGACGGACTCTGCCTCCGTTACGGATGGACACCGGCCAGGGTACCGTCACACGGCTCTTGCGGCCAAGAGGCAACTGTCGCGCATTCCCTGTCGTGCCCCTATGGAGGGTTTCCCTCCATTAGACACAATGGTATTCGGGACGTCACGGCCCGGCTGCTGGACGAGGTGTGCACCAGTGTGTCCATCGAGCCCTTGCTGCAAGGATTGGGTGAACCGCTGACGGGGGAGCGTCTTCGCTACCGGACCGCAAATGTGGAAGACCGTGCCCGGTTGGATGTCGCTGCCAATGGTTTGTGGGGCAGTCGTTTTGAGCGTACACTTATTGATATACGGGTTTTTAATCCTCACTCACGCTCAAATCGATCTGCACCACATACTATTGTGTATCAGCGACATGAAAAAGAAAAGAGAAGGCACTGTGAGGAGCGGGTGAGGCAGGTTGAGCAAGCCTCCTTTGTTCCGGCGGTCATATCAGCCAGTGGCGGAATGGGTCCAGCATCAATAGCACTGTACAAACGAATTGCTCATCTGTTGGCGGAGAAGAGGGGTGAGCATTACTCTCATGTTATGGCATTTGTTAGATGCAGGATTTCCTTCAGCCTTCTGAAATCCTGTATCATGTGCATTCGCGGTTGTAGGCGTTTAAATTTTGGTTTGAAATTTGCACCCTCCTGCGGAGCCCACGCTGCTTTGGCAGTGGCGGAGGCTCGCTTGCCGCCGTAACCGTCGGAGATCATCATGAACAATGGACTGACTAATTATTCACTTGTCCTGTCTTTATAAATAACATGTTATTGCATATGTTCTTGGTTTAGTTTTTGGCCTTTTTCGTGCTTTGGAGTTGATAACATTTTCCTCACTATCGAAAAAAAAATGCAGCTAGAAAAAAAAGAAAAAAAAAGAATTGGGTGACCAGCATTAGGCTTTCCCAAATCGGCCCTTTTTCCCCAAATCGGCCCTTTTTTCGCCTACTAGTATTCGGCTTTCCGCTCGGTTCAAAAATACATCAGATTCGGCTGCAAAAACAGCTGATTGTTCCAAAATCGGCTGCGATATTGGAATAATATTGGAAAATCGGCGAAAAGAATTGCTGGCATATTGATTTCAAAATTGGTGAGATATTGAAAATGCAGCCCTACAGGCCACAACTGGACTAGTTGTAATGTAGGAGTTTACTAGTAACCATCTTTTGTCCGCCTAATGGTTAGTGTTTGTTTGAGAGGAGGTCAAAGGACACGAGTCACACGACTAGGCATATGCGGATAATGCCGGCTGAGAAATTGGCAAAATTCGGTACTTTTTCTGGTAAGTTTCCTGCTTGTTTGGTATGTGGATAAAGAAATGGAGCAGAATTCGAGGAATTGCCCGCCATACGGTTTGTATGGTTCTGCCAATTTCATTGCTGTTCGAGCAGAATCTGCCAGAGCAGAAACTGCCACCTTTTCGAGCAATATCCGCCAACACGACCTGAACGCACTAGTTCAACAAGTATTGAAGTAGAGAGCTCGAGCGGTCATGCTTGCAGCAACATCATTCCTTCGTAAACGCACTTTGCAACCACACTTGGTAGATTTTCGGCGATTCTCAAAGGAACCCTCCCAAATCGGCGAAAAGCTTAGCAATTGTTCGACAAATCTAGTTTTCGGCGAATGTTTCGGCTGACCGATTTGGGGAAAGCCTAACCAGCATTCTCTTCACATACAGGACATACTCGAACTCTGGTGCTTTTTTCATTTTTATTTTTTGACTACGCGCCTTTTAGGTGTAATCTCAATTGAGGTGCCTGTTTCTCTACCCACATTACCGCAATTACAGCACATGAACACAGAAAATAACGTCATAGTACAGTAGCCAGCAGCCAGTAAGATGGTGAAAGACACGCCGAGCCGAGCACCACACGCCCATGATCAGGCTGCAGAATACAAGTCCCATCGAGTTGGCTAATCAGAACCAGCACTGCTGTTACCATGGTTACCACACTGCAGTAGTGCAGGGGCACGCTATTTCTGACATGATCCGAAATTTCACGTCCAATTTGGCGTAGAACTACAAATTTCGACGTCAGCTGCAGGTCACTCGCGAGCCAACTAACGTTAGCTGAACTTTCACGTCACGTCAGAAATAATGTGCATCAAAAAAAAAAGAAGTAAATTATCGTATCCGTTCCCGAAGGGAACTCACGACGGCCGCTAACACCCGATAATAATGTGCATCGTAACATCTTTAATACATGTACATATGGGTCAATTATTTTCCCCCCTACCAACAAATCATTAGTGCAATCTCGGGCCTACATCATACATGTATTGTACATCAACACGTAGATCTACGCTGCAACAACCCACGGCCAGCAAATAGGCATATGCGGATAATGCCGGCTGAAAATTGGCAGAATTCGGTACTTTTTCTGGTAAGTTTCATGCATGCTTGGTTGGCATGTGGATAAAGAAATAGAGCAGAATTCGAGGAATTGCCCGCCATAAGGTTTGTGTGGTTCTGCCAATTTCACTGCTTTTCGAGCAGAATCTGCCACCTTTTCGACAAGTATCCGCCAATGCCTACCAGCAAAGCCAGAAATCATGCATCCACACGTTGCCACAACACAACCCACATCTAGCAAAGGCAAACATCATGCATCAGCACGTTGCCACAGCATACCGCCGGCAAAGGCAGACATCATGCATCCACACGGTGCCACAACACACGGCCAGCAAGTCAATTATTTTTTGATGGAACATTTCTTCAGGGAGAGTTGAAATCGAGTGGCAGTCGGATATTGGTGAATGCCCAGAGGAGATTGAAGTGTACATGTAGCTCTTGCCACAGGGGAAGCATGTTTACGCAAGAATAGGTGAAGATGTCAAGCAGACAAACAGTAGAGGAAAGAAAAGATAACAATAGACAAGAATAGGAAGAAGAATGGATCTGCTCCCGTTTGCACAATACGCAGTATGATAGCACACACAACCTAATTCCATGCAAACACACACACACACACACACACACACACACACACACACACACACACACACATCACACACACACACACACACACACACACACACACACACGCACACACACGCACAACACACACATACAACACACACATGCACGCATGCAACACACACATTTTGTACCATTTACATGTAAGCCCGTCACAAAAGTAGTATGAAAAATCTGAAGATGTACGGTACAGGGACAGATTTTCTCTTTTGGCAACGATACCAGTCATGCTCTGACTGCAACAGATCAAGGTTTCCCTCCAACGTATGGATTGTGCGTTGGAGTGGGAGTCCTCATCCTTGTCGTCTACCACCCACACGCCCACCCACTCACACGCCCACACATGCTGTGCCTACTCCGGGCTTTACTCCGTCACTCTCCGCTCAATCGCACTACAGTAGGGCTTTGTGCCATGGTTCCACTGTTGACTCTCGCCAGGCACGCCTCTCTGCCAAAACAAAACAAAAAGCAACAATTAGAAAATAGAACTCAGAACTAACTTTAGCGAACTCAAATAAAGTTTACAAACAAACAAACATTTTACTTGCAGACTTGTAAAAATGAAGTGCAAAACGTTCTGGTTTTGATTAACTGCCCCCCAATATGAAAGGATCCAGATAATATAGCGCACAAAGGTCAAAAAGAATGGTTTCACCAATTATATATACATACGTGCAATCATGCAATCATCAGACAACTAATGGTGTTGAGCACTGTTGAAACCTGGGTATACCCACTTATGTGCAGATAATATTAGATATAGAGTGTAATAGTGAGACATCAAGGCACAACATCATTCCACACAGAAAACTGTAGGATTTACAGTCGACTCCACTGTCTTATAACGCACTCTTATCTAGCGAATTTCGTGATAATAGCGAACCACTGTCCATTGTGTGGCTAATGTTCAATTCTGTGCCTAAAGGTTAAAGATGGGTCCCTACAACTGTACTAACTACTATGTTCAACACACACACACGTACATGACAAACATTGGATGTTCGACTTGGTTTGTCAAACACGCAAATGTTTTTTTTGGATCATTTTTCAACCTAACAAGCCCGGGGCTACCTCCTGAGAGATAGTACGCCTCCAGTTCGGCTAAAGGGTTTTTGATCTCCCATGCTCAGTAACAGTAGCAATATACAGTGTGTATGTGTACCTGTGTTAAGAGTGTGTATGTATGCCTGCGTGTCGGTGTGTGTGCCTGTGGGTTTGAGCGCTTGTTTATGCCTGTATATTCGTATGCATTAAACTATCCAGAATGAGAACTCAGCAGGTGCCAGTTGTCCACGTATAACTCACCTTCCTCCATCTACTTCGCCACCTGTGGAAATAGACAACCAAAGATAGAGAAAAGAGCAGTGAGTAATGATAGGATGTTAGAGATATAATGCCTTAAAAAGCCTCTCCAAAATACTACCATTGTGCCGCTTGCAATGCAAGAGCACAGCGGAGACACATGACTGTATTTCTTTACTCCACTCTGGAGCTGGAGCCCTCCTCATGGCAGTTCTGCTCGTCTCCGAGAATGACGTGGCTAGACCAAGCCTTGCGAAAACCCATGATGCCATCTTTGACATTAATATTTGGTGGATCTCTTCTTATCCATGACCCGTTTCACTTAACACATGCTCTCCTACGATGAGTTCCCATAATCCTATGGAACGGAATAAGCTTGTAGGAGGTGAATACCTGCTGTTGTGGAGTGTTGCTCGCAGCCTGTTCGTGCTGATGTGTGACAGTCGCGTGGTCTCGCCTGGTCGAAACATACTGCCACTTTTGTCTCAATTCGCTACAGAGTCAGCGGTAGCAATGCGAAGTCCAGCATATGTTGCGCGCGATCTGACAGTTTGCGCAATCTGAGAGTTCCAGATTGCCTGCGCAATCTTTCAGACTTATTGTTTTTTTCCTTCTTGTCGTCTTATAACAATATAAGACGACTAGGATGAGGACTCTCACTCCAATTAGTGAGTGATACGTTGGAGGGAAACCTAAGCAGTGTACTGTCCAGCACTAGGTGAAGGTACTACACGTAGGTGAAGACTTGACAGATGGAGATGTCATCGTAGGGAAAGCTTGTCAGCAGTTAGCTAAAACCCCTCCATCCAGGGCCTGCATTCTTCTTCAGTGATGAAGTCCGGCCAAGTCTGACCTGTAGGCTTGTAGCTGGAGAGTGTATCCACGTCCACCATGTGTCAGTCGGTCATTGGGTCTGCAGCTATGCCCCAGGAACTACAGGCGGCAAGGCAGCAGTGTTCAACAGCCTGCTGCCACCCGCACCTATGCCGTAATAGGTATGCCATATCTGTTGCGTTGAAGCATGCAAGAGGTCTTGGCAAGTTCTGCCAAGTTATGGTCACGATTTATCATCACTGGTGTATCCATATGATTATGTTCTGCCTGTTGTACGCATTGCCTTTTGCACTCGTGCGTGTACTCACACATGCATCACGGTTTTCTGCCTGTCCTTTGCTCTGGACTAGAAGTCTTTTCACTTTGTCTTCTGAAAGATAAGTCATAAACCATACCTCGTGTGTTTGCGTTTATTGACACATTATTGACACATTTCAGTGCTACCATGTTGCACCTGCAGCGTCAGACTGGAGCACACGGTTGTGGAGTTCTGACTATTGCGACTGCCACTGAGCTCATATACTCAGACAGAGGCACAATGTGTTACACACACACACACATTTAAGCAGAACATATGCGCAGCACTTGGTTAAGTGCATCCGCAGTGGGGAAAATGGTGGGACTTCCAAGATGCAGTGACATGGGATTGCATCATGTCCAGCAACTCTCGATATCACTGAATATCAGGGTTCCCTGTGTGCAGGGGTTTGCATGCAAAGTATTTCTTGTGAACACTAGCGATGTGTTGACATATATCTCCATCAGTGTTTTGTTCAAGTATATCCATTGGCTTTTCTAATTGTCTGCAAACTCCAACCCACTTACACATTCAGCAAACTTCACTTCTCAATTCGAATACCCTCGCATAGTGTTGCGCCCTCACCACTCCAAGCGCCGACTGTCGCAAAGACGAATACTTACATACGGCTCTTAGCTATTAGCACTAATTGAAAACTTATGTTATTGGGCCCAGTTCCTGTCTAACTAATGTGCAAAGTAGAAAACTACAGAAACAAGTACACAAACAAACAAACTGCATATCGACTACTGTAGAGAAGCGAACTGAAATTGAATTAATTTCAAAAGTTCAGAATTGCGGGATGTTTCGCTCTGTTGTCACTCACAGTTTCATGGCAATAGAACCAATCTTTAGACAACCCTATCCCTGTATTGGTTACTCAACTCCACTTCCTAGTTGGACATTCAAATCCCGAAGAACGCTGTAATGTTCTGTCGTGGACATGGACATCCAGTCGAATGACCAGGACCGGCGCCCTCAGCCAGTACAGAGCGTTGCACGCAGTGCGCTTGTTGATCCGATGCGACCAGCATGCTGCAGCGCATGTGAGCACTGCTTATTGCTTACTCATGGCTGCATGGCCAGCGCCCCGGGGCCGCTAGTCTTGCGACCGGATTTCCATGTCCACGACAGTAGTTGGGCTTGTAAGTAAAATGTAACTGGTTTGCACCTGGGATTCAAGAAAGAAAACAGTACTGTCGGCAGGCGCCGAAGAACGGAGTGCCGAAGAACGGAGTGCCGAAGAACGGAGTGCCGAAGAACGGAGTGCCGAAGAACGGAGTGCCGAAGAACGGAGTGCAGAAGAACGGCAGTGCCGAAGAACGGAGTGCCGAAGAACGGAGTGCCGAAGAACGGGACGCCGAAGAATGACCAGGCTAGAAATTTACCAAGCACAGCATGCCTATGTATACACGGTGAATCGACTGCGCTAAGACTGCACAGGAAACAAGAACAGTCTAGTCTAGGGTACGCTAGGAGGTTGACCCCACAGTTCTTCGCCGACCGATGGTACTGTACAAGAACGCCTACCGAAGACGCATGACAATTAATGGAAGCAGTTGGCTAGATACAAAACCTTTCATGAAGTTGGTTGTTCCAACGAGGAACACACGCTTCTTGCCGGCAAGACGCTTGTGTTCCTCGTTGGAACAACCAACTTACAAATACAATACCTTACTTCAGGACTAATACCACCGAAGTCGCAACTTCTAAGTTCGTACAAAACATTTTCTTTCAAGCATTGCAACCGGCATGAGGAATGAAAGTAGCACTACGAAGCGAAGCACACACAAGTAGTCAACGTTTTGTTCGCTTACCGTAGCGTTGGGCGGCGGGCCAGTGGACGGTTTGATACGCCATTGTGCCGGAACTGCCGGGTTGGACAAGTTGGAGGACTGCAGCCTAGGGCTCCTGCGCTGGCAACCGCTGAACAAAGTCGTCACTGCACTGCACGGTGGATGAAAGTTGAAGTGAGTTTCCAACTGGCGCGGGCCCAAACTTTAGTCTCGCAACTAAGGTACTTGACCCAAGGCGCGCTGCTGCGGATACTGTTTACACCTCCGGTACGCGCTAGTCCGCGCTAGACGCTATCCGGGGAGATGTGATAGACACAGGAGACGTTTGATACTGCGCACTCCATTTGGTGTGAACGTTTCGAATCTCAAGGTGAAAATACATGTTGATGTAACCACGGTGTCAAAGGCGTGCGACTTCGTCCTGCGATTTTTAGCACTGTCTACTGGAGAATGTGCTAGCTCACATCGCAGTCGTTTCGTGCACTTGGCTTGGTGCCGTGTTGTCGTAGGTAGTGCTTGTGGTCGGCCACAGAGCCTATACTAGCGTCGGTGGTGGTGTATATTGGTGTATGCAACATATGTATACAATGCGCCTGCTGAGTATATTCCCGCGCAGAAATGTAGACCGGCTATGGTGGTGGCCTGTCGCAAGCGAATTGGTTTTCTGTTCGTGTGCAACAGTTAGCAGGTGGTTACGCGACCGTGTGAAACAGAAATGTATCGCTGCTTTGGAATCTCCAACTGCACCGCGATTTGACAAATGCTGTCGCCTCCGCTACCCGTGATTAGGCATTTCTCGATTTTGTCGCCTAATCGGCTTTTCGATCGGCTAAGAGAATGTCCAAATTCGGCCATACTATGAGATCCAAAGTGAGAATTCGACTCACAGCAGTGCTATAGACAGTACGGTACAGTGCTGGCAACTGAAATCCGACCCCCCCTAGCGTCTCGTACGAATCGCTAACGCGGCTACCGTACCGCTAGGGGGGATCGGATTTCAGTTGCCAGCACTGTACTTGACGTCACAGGTCGCAGCATAAATGTATGTACATGTACATGTACATGTACATTAACATGCAAGCTGTACAGGCACTACAACTGTACAACATGGATAAAAAAAAGTACAGTACATACTGAAGACCCAAAAAGGTCGTATATCCGTACGTACAGTCAGTGCCTAAGACAAACAAATTCGGCGAATTATTATTATACATGTAAGAAAAAAAGGCAATGGAAAAAAAGATGATTCGAATAAGTTTTCGTACAACACTCTTCAGAAATCACCGTTGTACTAAAGAACAAAATGAGAACAAAAGGAAATAATAGAAATCAAGGTAGGGTATAAACACGATACAATGACAGCACTGGAATATCGAGGATATTATTATTATTATGTTTTTTGTTTTTTTTTTGTTAGGGATTTCCCAACAGGCAATTCAGGGCGAAACTTGTAAATTTAGCGCAATTATCGGCGATTTCTTCACAGCCATTGATTTTGGCGTCTTTTCCTACTGGCTGATTTCGGAAATGCCTGAAATCGCATCTCTCGCGGATACTGCTCCGTCGCCCAAAGATCACACGAAAAGAGATTTCCCCTAATATGGCGAAGAGATGGATCAAAAACTTGAATTTGCCGAGGTAAGAATACCGGAATACGGCGCGCGATATCTCTGGAGGCCGACATCGTAACTCTTAGGCGATTGGACAGCTGGGAGTTTTCGCTACCGCGTAGATGCTTCGAGTGTTGAATGTGCACAAGAAACGATGGAGTTATGAAGGTTTTAGGAATCCATCATACAATAATCGTTAGCGGGATAATTCGATTGAAATTCGTACTGCGGACAAAGCTTCGTTTTTCCGTAAAAATACGGACAAACATGGGCGTTTGGCAACACTGATTGTTAATCCTGAACATGAGAAAGATGTTTGGAAGAAACGCGAGCAAAAAAATGATACTCGGATGTTGAGCCATAAATAAATGTAGAAAATAAACTAACATATGGATACGAGTTAAGAGTAACTCTCCATCACTATAACTGGATACTATATACAGTCAGAAAGTGCAATAACTAGTCACAAAACTGACAGAGTACTGAGACATTCCACGAAAATAATGATGATAATTATTATTATGATACATGAGTAGTTGAGCTGCCCTGAGTCTGGGAGACAAGGGCGAATCTGAGATACGCTCCCAAGGCGCCCGGATAAGAAAGTTCAAGTGTATTTTCCAATTTCTGCATCTGGGTTGATATAATTATACCGGGCGGATCGGGATATTTTGGTGCATGACCATGGCACGGAATCATAGCCATTTCCTTCCCAGGGACGCAGGACACAAAGGAAATATACTTTGCTTGTTTTTATACTTGTTTGTTACATGATTATATTGACATGACGGAAACACAGGACTGCGACATGGCGGAAAAGCAAACTACTCTCAAAGAGGCGAGCGAGAAGACTGACAAAAGGACTCTAAATTACAACATTACGCATGTATAACACACATGACGGCGACCAGACGAGACAGTTTGAGGAATGTCATCACACAGAAAAACAATATACATAAAATATCGTTCCATAACACTACGATACTGGTCAAGACTGGTAGGTCATGCATGAGATCAGAAAGACATGGTGCATCGTTTTAATGCTGGTTTTGACGAACACCAGTAAACATACATTGACCGTGCCTATTCCAATGCTGCTGTCCAATACGTGTAAAAAGTAAGCAGACATACTACAATAGGATTTGAGTTTCTATATCCGATACGTCATCCATTTTGTTCATTCCACATATTTACATTAGACAAGCAACAAAATAGAACTAAACAGCTGTATATGTGACGACGACGGATGAGACCAGACATTAAACTCTCTCACACACACACACACATGCACACACACACACACACACAGATTTGCACACAAAGATTAACACCCAGACACTCATTGGAGAAATGAACCGTTTCTGCGCTGACTTACACGTCCGTTCCGTAAATCCTTCTGCACGCAAGAGAACGTCACTATGATGTAGTCCAATTCGGAATAGAAATCCAGTGCGTCGCTAATAGGCACTTTCAGGTGCAAGCTCAATGCGTAGATTCTACAACATACCGGTACCACCACAACAGTCCTTCGCATGGAATTGTTTGTGATCGTCTGCTGACATCTCCTGCTCAGCTGTAGTAGCGCGATCGCTAGCACCAGTATGACAATGCTCATGTCTAGTTAGTAGTTCTGTATCTTGATTCGGTGCATCAACAGAAGAAAGTTACCCTCTTTGTGTTTCTCCGAAGGCTCAGACGCATACGCGCAGAAATCTTCTACTTTGCTGTTGCATCGCTTACACGTAACGGCACTAAAATAGAACAATCCTGTCACTAGATAGGTTTTGACGGATGCTCCATAGTCGACGTTCACGACATCCAAGCCGAATTTTGCAAGTTCACCATTTGGGCCGTAGATTCTCGATCCGAAGTCCACTTTGCTCTTGTTGATAATCGGCAGGCCACAGGTGCCGCAGCATCCGAATTCAACCGATATCTCTTCGGGTATGACGATAAACAGAACGCCCATGCTGAACAGTCGGCAGCCTCAACTCTTTGTGACGGCAGTAGAACCTCCTGCTGTTGGAGAGATAATGGTATAAGACGTCCGCTGGATCAAACTGGATCTGACTGGTCTGGAAGTGGCTGCTAGATAGCTGGGTGATGTGCACGAGTGTGCGGAAGCCTAAAACAAAACTTTATTCATAATTATGGTGGTAAACACGCACCTGGCAATATGACGGTAAAAACACGCCGGGCAGTAATTTAACAACAGGAAGTATCGGTAGTGCAACACGTCTTATATCTCACCTTTCATCGCACTTTAAAAGGCGGATACTTTCAAATTGAAATACGATACATACATGTACATGTACATGTAGCGCGTGATCATCGTTGTGACCCATCACCTCAATGTGTGTTACAGTACCTGAGTTACAGTTAAAACCTGTCAAGGCGACCACTCGGATAAGGCGACCACCTGTCCTAAAAGACCACTGGAGCCAGGACCAAAGGATGCTATTTCCAGTCAATTGACCCTGGATAAGGAGACCACCTGGTAACAGAGACCATACAGTAAAACCTGTCAAGGCGACCACTCGGATAAGGCGACCACCTGTCCTAAAGGACCACTGGAGCCAGGACCAAAGGATGCTATTTCCAGTCAATTGACCCTGGATAATGAGACCACCTGGTAACAGAGACCATACAGTAAAACCTGTCAAGGCGACCACTCGCATAAGGCGACCACCTGTCGTAAAGGACCACTGGAACCAGGACCAAGGGATGCTATTTCCAGTCAATTGACCCTGGATGCATGCAATGGTCCAGTGTGAACAGCGTTATTGGTGTTGCACAACAAGCCCTGGTCGCATTGGAACCACCAGTTCAATTCTTGTACCTCCAGTACGTGACAGTTTGACAGTGTAATAATATCTGAATAAACTGATTGGACTGTAATTTCAGTTTGTCGCTCATGCCTCGCCGTCAACTAATACAGCCCAATGCAAGTTACAGTGCGAGCACTGTACATGGTGTTGGTCATCACAGCCTGCGTGCGTTGGAATCACCGGTTCAACATTGTTACACAAAACGTGACAGATGTGCCATACATTCATTGTGCTCAACGTTTCCTTAGAGCATTGGCATAAAAAAGCAGAGTAAAAGCTCAATTGATCTAAGCATTAATGGTACAGTGGATGAGTTGTGATATTTCGCCATGTCAATGTCCGCAGCCGTTAGCTCTGCTTCATCATGTGCGTCTGGAGGAATGGCTGTTAGGACGCGTCTAGAGGGACCTCGGATTGTGGAACCAGACACAATACTACTTGTCTTGACGATGAATAGTTGATGATAGAAGAATCATCGAAGAAGGATATACATATAGCAGAAGACATTCACGGCAAAGTGGCAGCGCTGCAGTTTTTGCGAGAAGGAAGGTGATTCCGAATGAAGTGGAATGCAAGACATGTCAACGCCAAGTTAACATAACAATCAGGAGGGCCTTTTCGGACGGTTCTGTTTGGTCGTGTCTGGTATGCCGTCAAGAACGTACCATGGGAACTGGAACGAGTCTACCCGGCATGAATGCTAGTCTGCAGGATATTCTTGTAAAGGTCGGTCACATATTTGACTAGAAAGGAACTGCGAATCGTGAGAAAAATATGGCAAATGGAGCAAGCCTGTATAATAATCTCAACAACATTTGAGATACTAGAAAAGTCATTTTTGAAAATGTAGTATTTTTTGGATGCGATCAGGATGAGTGGCTCATGGCAAGCGATATGTATTGCCCTTGAGAATAACAGTAGACGTGCAGTGATTGATATTGACCTGTCCACATTTATAGACAAAAATGGTCACGGACAGAATGCAAGATAGTTCACAGAAATTTCTCAAGGGTTGGTCCAGTGCTTAACCCTGCGTCGATGAATTGTAGAGCATGTCAAGATCAAATATAGGTGCTCAGTATAAGGAGGAACACAGCAAACCCATTTCCAATTTTGAGGATGATTTAAAGTCAGTAGACATTTCCAAATGCTCCTTTTCAAATTCTTCAGTGCCTAAGAGTCCATTCGCAGCTCTCTGTTTATTCATTCACAATACACTGTACTGCAGAATATGTGATTTCATTTAAATTTCGTTGTCACGGTCCTATCAGGTTTCGGGTGTAATGTAGAATTGGGTGGCCAGCATTAGGCTTTCCCCAAATCGGCCCTTTTTTCCCCAAATCGGCCCTTTTTCCCTAAATCGGCCCTTTTTTCCCTAAATCGGCCCTTTTTTCCCCAAATCGGCCCTTTTTTCGTCTATTCGCCTTTCAGCTCGTCTTTCCGCTCGTCTCAAAAATACATCGGATTCGGCTGCAAAAACAGCTGATTGTTCCAAAATCGGCTGCGATATTGGAATAATATTGGAAAATCGGCGAAAAGAATTTCTGGCATATTGGTTTCAAAATTGGTGAGATATTTAATAATGCAGCCCTACAGGCCACAACTGGACGTTGTAATGTAGGAGTTTACTAGTAACAATCTTTTGTCCGCCTAATGGTTAGTGTTTGTTTGAGAGGAGGTCAAAGGACACGAGTCACACGACTAGGCATATGCGGATAATGCCGGCAGAAAAATTGGCAGAATTCGGTGCTTTTTCTGATAATTTTCATGCATGTTTGGTATGTGGATAAAGAAATGGAGCAGAATTCGAGGAATTGCCCGCCATAAGGTTTGTATGGTTCTGCCAATTTCACTGCTTTTCGAGCAGAATCTGCCACCTTTTCGAGCATTATCCGCCAATGCCTACACACGACCTCAACGCACTAGTACTACAAGTACAAGTACGGAGGAAGAGAGCTCGAGTGGTCATGCTTGCAGCAACATCATTCGTTCGTAAACGCATTTTGCAACAACATTTGGTAGATTTTCGGCGATTTTAAAAGGAACCCTCCCAAATCGGCGAAAAGCTTAGCAATTGTTCGACAACTCTAGTTTTAGGCGAATTTTTCGGCTGACCGATTTGGGGAAAGCCATGCCAGCATTCCCTTCACATACACGGCATACTCGTACTCTGGTGCTTTTTCATTTTTATTTTTTTGACTACGCGCCTTTCACGTGTAATCTCAATTGAGGTGCCTGTTTCTCTACCCTCAGTGCCACAATTACAATACTGTACATACACTGTATATTGTTAGATTGACAGCATGAAACAAGGTGGAGGACACTGGGTTCGGAAACAGTGACCTTACTACAACCTTCCGCGGATACAGTACTGTACATGTACACGGGAAATGACGTCATAGTACAGTAGCCAGCTGCCAGTAAAATGGTGGAAGACACGCCGAGCCGAGCGCCACACGCCCATGATCAGGCTGCAGAATACAAGTCCCATCGAGCTGGGTCAGCAGAACCAGCACTGCTATCACAACACTGCAAGTGCAATAGTGAGGATGCGCGTTATTTCTGACGTGACGCGCAATTTCACTTCGAATTTGGCGTAAAACTCCAAATGTCGACGTCAGCTGCAGGTCACTCGCGTTGTCTTTCAACGTGCGAGCCAACTAACGTTAGCTGAACTTTCACGTCACGTCAGAAATAACGTGCATCCTAACGTCTCTAATACATGTACACGTGGGTCATTTTTCCCCAACAAATCATTAGTGCAATCTCTGGCCCACATGTATTGTACATCAACACGTACATGTACTGATGTAAATCTACTTTGCCACGACCCACGCCGGCCAGCAAAGCCAGACATCATGCATCAATGCGTTGCCACAACACGCAGTCGCGAAAGGCAGACGTCATGCATCCACACGTTGCTACAGCACACGGCCTGGCCTGCCAATGCAGACGTCATGCATCAACGCGTTCCCAGAAATTATGGCATGGCCAGTAAAGGCAGACATCATGCATCCACACGTAATCGTTGCCACAACACACGGACAGCAAGTCAATTATTTTTGATGGAACATTTCTTCAGGGAGAGTTGAAATCGAGTGGCAGTCGGATATTGGTGAATGCCCAGAGGAGATTGAAGTGTACATGTAGCTCTTGCCACAGGGGAAGCATGTTTACGCATGAATAGGTGAAGATGTCAAGCAGACAAACAGTAGAGGAAAGAAAAGATAACAATAGACAAGAATAGGAAGAAGAATGGATCTGCTCCCGTTTGCACAATACGCAGTATGATAGCACACACAACCTAATTTAATGCAAACACACACACACACACACAGCCACGCATACAGCACACACATGCACGCATACAGCACACACATTTTGTACCATTTACATGTAAGCACGTCGCAAAAGTAGTATGGAAAATCTGAAAATGTACGGGACAGGGACAGATTTTCTCTTTTGGCAACGATACCAGTCATGCTCTGACTGCAACAGATCAAGACCATCGCGAGATAACCACTAGTAAGTAGTCGTCACCACACACAAACATACATATAATTACACACACACACACACCATCTACCACCCACGCGGCCACCCACTCACACGCCCACACATGCTGTGCCTCCTCCGGGCTTTACTCCGTCACTCTTCGCTCACTCGCACTAGGGCTTGATGCCATGGTTCCACGGTTGACACTCGCCAGGCACGCCTCTCTGCCAAAACAAAACAAAAAGCAACAATTAGAAAATAGAGCTCAGAAGTAGCATTAGCGAACTCAAATAAAGTTTACAAACAAACAAACATTTTACTTATAATTATAGCAATGAAAAGTATGAATGCCGCAGACATCACCACGCAACATGACAATTTGTTCAAGGTTTGGTTTTGTGTGTTTCCAAAATCGATTTTCACGTTGCGATCATCAGTGGAAATACGCAACTAAAGAGATCAAGGGAAAAAAAGGCTCCCTCTACCACCGACACAACCAGAGCAAGTCGAACACACGGTGCAGAGGAAGAGTGGTGGATCACTAAGCCAACCGAATGTGCCTTCTCCACCGTTGCCCTTGCCGCCGCCGGAGCCACCACCAGTGCCGTTGGTGGCTGGGGTTGGGGAGGAGTTGGCAACAACAACAGTACCGCCAATCACAGAAATTGAGCCCATTTCTTTGACACAGTATCCGGCTGTGCGGACACCGCAGCACCCTCCGGCGATTGATCCGTGGGTCCAGAGACCACGGAGGTCGACCGCCAATTATTCAACCGAAATATATGCTAGGAATGGCCAAGGCCCACGCGGAGCATCGAAGGAGACCGGAAGCCGGGGGCAAAACGGAACACAATCTCGGGACGTAGATGAGGTAAGGACAGTGGCACGGGACAGACGTAGGAAGGAGAACATGGATGGTATCAGACGACTGACTGGTGGTGAATATGAGTTGGGTGATGATGCGGCGGATGACGAGAATACAGATGACGACGAGGCGGATGACGGCGAGGATACAGATGACGACGAGGCGGGTGATGACGAGGCGGCGGATGAAGACGAGGCGGATGACGGTGAGACGGCTGGTGGTGATGGTGATAAAACGGACGAGGAGGAGTCAGGTGGCAGGGAAGGTGATGGAGCTGATGAGGGTGAAATTCGTAAGAAGTCAGCTGTGTATTTGCATTTGTTATCTCGTCCCGATTGTTTGAGTGTGTATGATGATTCCCACTTCTCTGTACTGTGTCGTGCCCGTTATGTCCAGCAGTTGAAGGTCCTTGAAGCTGTTTGTATTCGTACGCATAAGCCCGATTTGTGTAAGCAAAAAGAACATGTTTTAGCACTTAGGTTATTTTCGTGAGTTTGCACCCCGTGTTCATGAGTTGTTTCTGCACTGTTCATGCCCGTTTGTCACACTTACTCTTTATTTTAGTTCTCACTTTTTGTAATACTTACCACAAGTTACCCGTCATGTGTCACACTTCTTTGGATTTTTAACCTTTGTTTTTCCCTTGATCTCTTTAGTTGCGTATTTCCACTGATGATCGCAACGTGAAAATCGATTTTGGAAACACACAAAACCAAACCTTGAACAAATTGTCATGTTGCGTGGTGATGTCTGCGGCATTCATACTTTTCATTGCTATTATTAAACTTTTATCTCCACGTAGATTATTTGTATATTTACTTATAATTTATATTATTATACGCATTCCCGCGGCGGCGTCAACCAAGCAGTTATGCTTGATCCACACGTTCGCTTATGCTGGACATTGAAACAAAGCAGATGTGAAACAAACCTTTTACTTGCAGACATGTAAAAATGAAGTGCAAAACGTTATGCCTTATGTTTTTGATTAACTGCCCACCAACATGAAAGCATCCAGATAATATAGAGTGTAATACTGTAGTGCGACATCAAGGCACAAAATCATTACACACAGAAAACTGGAGGCTTTACGGTAGACTCCACTGTCTTATAACGCACTCTTATCTAGCGAATTTCGTGATAATAGCGAACCACTGGCCATTGTGTGGCTAATGTTCAATTCTGTGCTGAAAGGTTAAAGATGGGTCCCTACAACAGTAGTACTATTTAATTTACTGTACTGTGTTCAACGCACACACATACACGTACATGACACACATTGGATGTTGGGCTTGGTTTGTCAAACTCGCAAATATTTTTTTGGATCATTTTTCAGCCTGACAAGCCCGGGGCCACCTCCTGAGAGTTGGTACGGCTCCAGTTCGGCTACAGGGTTTTTGATCTCCCGTGCTCAGTAACAGTAGCAATGTACAGTGTGTATGTGTACCTGTGTTTAGCATGTGTATGTATGCCTGCGTGTCGGTGTGTGTGTGTGTGCATCTACTGCTTGCACAGCTGCATAATGCCGTTTATTATTATTATTTTTTAAATTTTACTATTACTATTTTTCGGCAACGCAGATGATGATGATGATGATGATGATGATGATGTATGCCTGTGTGCCTGTGTGTTTGAGCGCTTGTGTGCGTTTGTTTATGCCAGCCTGTGTATTCATACATTACACTATCCAGCATGAGAACTCAGCAGGTGCCAGTTGTCCACGTATAACTCACCTTCCTCCATCTACTTCGCCACCTGTGGAAATAGACCACAAAAGATAGACAAAGGAGCAGCGAGTAATGATAGGATGTTAGAGATGTAATGCCTTAAAAAGCCTTTCCAAAAATTAATACTACCATTGTGCCGCTTGCAATGCAAGAGCACAGCGGAGACATATGACTGTACTTCTTTACTCTACTCTGGAGCTGGAGCCCTCTTCTAGGCAGTTCTCCTCGTCTCCGAGAATGACGTGGCTAGACCAAGCCTCGGGAAATCCCATGATGCCATCTGTGACTTCAATATTTGGTGGATCCCTTCTTATCCATGACCCGTTTCACTTAACACCTGCTCTCCTACGATGAGTTTCCATAATCCTATGGAACGGAATAAGCTTGTCGGAAGTGAATACCTGCTGTTGTGGAGTGTTGCTCGCAGCCTGTACGTGCTGATGTGTGACAGAGTCGCGTGGTCTCGCCTGGTCTAAACATACTGCCACTTTTGTCTCAATTCGGTTTGGAGCAAGGCGGTGACCATCCCACTTCAGAGTCAGCGGTAGCAATGCGAAGTCCAGCATATGTTGTGCGCGATCTGACAGTTTGCGCAATCTGAGAGTTCCAGACTGCCTGCGCAATCTTTCATCAGACTTATTGTTTTTTTCCTTCTTGTCGTCTTATAACACTATAAGACGACAAGGATAAGGACTCGCACTCCAACTAGCGAATGATACTTTGGAGGGAAACCTAAGCAGTGTACTGTCCAGCACTAGGTGAAGGTAATACACGTAGGTGAAGACTTGACAGATGGAGATGTCATCGTAGGGAAAGCTTGTCAGCAGTTAGCTAAAACCCCTCCATCCAGGGCCTGCATTCTTCTTCAGTGATGAAGTCCGGCCAAGTCTGACCTGTAGGCTTGTAGCTGGAGAGTGTATCCACGTCCACCATGTGTCAGTCGGTCATTGGGTCTGCAGCTATGCCCCAGGAACTACAGGCGGCAAGGCAGCAGTGTTCGACAGCCTGCTGCCACCCGCACCTATGCCGTAATAGGTATGCCATATCTGTTCCAAAGGAGCCTCTTTTACGGGCCAATAAACAATCCAATCTGAAGAGCAATGTCAATAAAGCCGCTCATAACGCTAAAAATCAAATCAATTCAGGAAAATTCAATTCAATTCAAAGTCGTGACACATCCGGTGAAAAACAGCAAGAAATAATATCTCGATGCAAAAGAAGAAAAAGGAAATAAAAAGCCGCTTCATTTTAAAGGACCAAATGAAGAAAAGCAAAGAAATACCCATATCAGCGCTAAATTGCACCTTAAATTATAAACAAAAACATGACGCATCCATTAGCATTGAGGACACTGCCATTAGCGAGGTTATACATACCACTGTTACATCCGTCCCTCAGCCATGGCTAGTGGGCGCAATGCACTTACCGGTCGATGGTATGCAGAGCGAGCCCCTCTGATGCACATAACTGCAGCTCGGAGGAGTGCAAACGACAGACGGCATCTGACATAGGCCATAACCTCGCCGTAGGGCGTGCCATCATGCTGTGCCAGCATAGCGCATAATCGCTTCAAAAACCGCAAGCATTCTGGGGATGCACTGCCAGCCGTGGTGAAGACAAGCGGGGTAAAGTTACGACGGTCAACATTGACAATCCTTTCGCCATATCTGTTGCGTTGAAGCATGCAAGAGCTCTTGGCAAGTTCTGCCAAGTTATGGTCACGATCTATCATCACTGGTGTATCTATAATTTATGATTATGTTCTGCCTGTTGTACGCATTGCCTTTTACACTCGTGCGTGTACTCATACTAGTACACACATGCATCACGGTTTTCTGCCTGTCCTTTAGCTTCGCTCTGGACAAAAAGTCTTTTCTCTTCGTCTTCTGAAAGATAAATCACAAACCCTACCTAGTGTGTTTGCGTTTGTTGACACAACAATCACATGTTACTGCTACCGTGTTGCGCCCGCAGCGTCAGTCTGGGGCACACGGTTGTGGCTATTGCGACTGCCACTGACCCTGAGGCACAATCTGTTACACACATTTTTAAAAGCAGCAGAAAATGCGACAGCACTTGATTAAGTACATCCGCAGTGGGAAAATGGTGCGACTTCCAAGATGCAGTGGCATGGGATTGTATGATGTCGAGCAACGCTCGATATCACTGAATATCAGGGTTCCCTGTAGTCAGGGGTTTGCATGCAGAGTATTTCTTGTCAACACTAGCGATGTGTTGACTTATATCTCCATTACTGTTTTGTTCAAGTAAATCTTGAACTCGGATGGTGAGCCAATATAGTTATGATGAAGAACGCTTACAGTATAAGATCTGGTTACGTTGGTGGACAGTTTGTCATAACTCGTAACATTTTGTCCGTTTCCTTTCTTCAAGTATATCCATTGGCTTTTCTTATTGTCCGCAAACTCCAACCCACTAACACATTCAGCAAACTTCACTTCTCAACTCTAAAAACAGTCTCTTCTTCACTGTGATTCGAATGAAAAGAGAGAGGAGCCTTGAGAGGTATCCGCGAGAATGAAGACTTTTAATATAGTAAAACCTTCCGACAAAAGTAAAGGATTTGTGGTCATGTCCCGTGATAGCAGCCATGTGCAGAAGGTGTCTGTTATGTTGGACTGTCCAGATAGTGACGAACGTTCTGCTGTGATTACCGAATATTTGGATAAGCAGACAAGGACGACGTTGGACAACGTCACCAAGCACAAACTTCCGCGTGCACTCGCCAAAGCAATATCGCCCCACAACTCACGAACTAGCCAATTCCACGGCTTACCGAAGGACCACAAACCAGGTCTTCCGCTGCGCCCTGTGGTGTTGTCTTGTGGCTCGTTGACAGAAATGTTTTCGCTATTGTTGGAGCGTGACCTGAATCAACTGCTGAAGTTTGTTCCTGCACATTTTCAAGTACTGGTGAGTGTGTTGATGTTCTACGTGAGCTAGGCGATCTTCCCGGAGATTGTATCATTGCTTCGTTAGATGCTGTCTCCCAGTATTCGAATATTCCTGTGGGTGATGGTATCGATGACGTGATGGAGTTGTTGGCGTCACATCACGCTGAAGTCGATATGTTCTGTTTGGCTTCGCCGGACGTTCGAGAGCTCCTGTGGTTTGTGCATCACCCGTCACCAACGCTTCAATTCTCGCTACCCAGTCTGCAGTCATCCCTTGTCAATCGTCGTATGCGTGAAGCCATGTTTATTCGTGATAGGCGTCCGTCTGTGAACAGGGACTGTGGCTGGCGGCTTCTTGAAAAGGTGTGAAACTGTTATTTGTATGATTGTACAGTGTATGTACAGACTCCGTGCTTGGTCTGATCTGACTGTAGGTGTTGTTGCAGTGTTCCCCTACATGTGCAAGCCTGTTTGTGTCAGTGCTTGGTCCGTAGGCTGGATGTAGGTGATATTCTACACATGTACATGTAATTCTGTTGCCATGACTTGCTGTAACTGTTGCTAGACAATGTATCACTCTGTTATCGCATATGTCCACTCAGATTCTATTGAAGCCCCCCCCCCCCCCTAATACAAACACACCCTACCGCTGAGACATACACCACCTACACTTACCACTTTCCTATTCTTCACCTAACATATTCACACCAATATGTGAACTTTCTCAGTGTCATTAGTTGTTGTCTTCATAGATGTAGTTCAATAAGTACCTATGCAATGGATATTGTGTCATTCGTTAACCTGATGATGAGCCAGGCCCGAAAAGTTGGTGTAATGTAAATCTTAATTTTAATTTGAATCGCAGTGAAGAGACCGTTTTTGGAGTTGAGAAGTGACGTTTGCTAATATCCATCGCCACCCAGATTCCCGCTTTGACATCAATAGATCTTCTATCGCGCCGACCAAAAAATGAATTTCATGGCCGCATTTCTTCTTCTCTCTTTCTGCATAAAATCGGTAGGCTGTGGAACTGACTTCCACCAAAGCTGACATCCCAATATACACTAATTTAAGCGCAGTTTAGCGCGTATTGGCTTATGATTTCTTTTTCTTCTCTTTGTATTTAGTGCTTGACCGGTAGCCATCGGCGGACTATGCTCGGCCAATCGTCAAATTATGCTTTTGATTATGCCACAATTATGCCAACAAAATATGCTGAATTATGCTGAATTATCCTTGGTTCCACTATGTATTCACGCTGTACATAGAGGATTGAGAAACCACGCATACACACACGGCCATGCCCTAAGCATAATTTTTTGTCTAAACCGAAAGATTATGCCGACCTTACACGTTGGAATCCGTATATTATGCCGGAGCATAATATTTTTACGAAATCCCAAGATTATGCCAAATATTATGCCGGCATAATCCGCCAAGGGCTATTGACAGGTTATTATTTTTCCTTCTCTTTATTATTTTTCTGGTTAAAAAAAGAAAAAAAGATTCACTCTCTAACTTTTAATATGGCAATAAGTAGGACGAGCTGAAGTGACATTTGGATTACTTTATTAACAATGTAAGCGATGGAAACGATACAAAAAAACAATGTAAAGGGTAAGGTGTTTATGGACTCTTGGTAAGGAAGATACATTCAGCTCGTCCTACTTATTGCCATATTAAAATTATTGTCTCCTCTCTAACTTTTAGCAGGAATTTCGCTCGCACGTGAACAGTTTTGAATTTGACTGTAGTGGTATACCCCAGCCCTGTCTTTTTGCTCATTGTGTAGCATATAGTTTTCCTCACTGTTTTTTTTTTCTATTCCATGATTTGCATCAGACGCTTACTATTGCCGTGGCTGGCTCAACGCCCTTGTCTCATGGGATTCTGTCCCTGCATTAGCTATGCTTGTCACATGCTATGAGATTGTGTCTAATAATGATAATAATAATAATAAGACCTTCTTTCCTCTGGTAGATTCTTTCATTAAATAAGATTACTATTTAAAAGTTATTAGCACTAGCAATGGGGAAATATGAGTTAAGAGTTACTCTTCCACATTCCATTCTCTAAGAACGTAATTTCTACTATGGAATGTTAGTCCCATTTGTTGGTTCTGGTGGTGACAATTAGGCCTCGGCGGGTAATGCTAGCATTGTAACTGGCATTACGAGCATCGTTTTGAGACCTAGCAATGCTCCAGCATTGTACCCGGATTTGGAGCTAAAACAAGCATTAGCGCCCAAAAGTGTCATTTTCTCACTTCATGAGTGTGCATTACTGAATAAAACAGGAGCTCTACAATGTAACGTACACGCTGTACTTTGTACCAGTGGCTTTTGGGCAGTTTTGCTTAAACGTTAGCCTGCGACTTCGCAACATGCGTCTCTTGTTGCGAATCGAGTGGCAGCTGCTAGGTATAGACGTACCACGTTGATGCCAGCATGGGAAACGGAAAGAAATCTTGTCTTTCCTATTCACAGAGTCATGCAGTGCTGGCTTACTTGCACCATGAGTACATCAAATGGAAATGTGTTGGAAGTCTCTGATTCTTCGGAGGAAGAGAGTGAGGAAGATGAGTACGAGACAGAGGAGGATAATAAGGAAGACGAGAACGAGGCAGAGGTGGAGGATGAGCCCGGTGAGGCATGCGCACGACTGCCCAAAGCCAAAGGAGCAAGCATATCGAGGGTTAGTGACATTCCTACTATTGTGACAGTGTGTTCACTGGGTGCCAGTATTATGCCCCATTGTGTTGCTAATGGATTGCTGGAATGAATCACCAAGTCTTGGTGTCTGGACGGATTACCTATACTCGTGCACTAGTTGCCCACTGTGTTGATTGACTCATTCCACGAAGTGATACGTTGACTTATATTGTACTTTTTCATACCACACAATATACTAAATTTCCAAAATAGCATTCCGTATGCACCCTCAAAGTACTTTGAAGACTGTCGACGTAGGGTTCTGATTTACTGTTATTCACTGCTAGTTCATGATAGCAACTTCAGTTCCACATCATTTTGAAATAGCATCACCATAATCTACTTTCAAAGTACTAGGTACTTCCAATAGCAGTATTCAGTGCAGTGTGACTTACATTATGACACAATGCCATATGAGTGGTTAACATTGCCTTTTCAACTAGCATTACAAGTCCAAAGTAGCATTCCGAATAACTAGCAATGCTAAAAGCATTTTGAGCTGAAATAACTAGCATTACCCACTGAGGCCTAGTGACAATAGAGACCAGTTGCACATCTCGCAAAGTACTATCCTCAACACTGCTGGGATGACGGTTACACCATAGTTTAGCGGTTAGAGCATCGATGGCTACAAGCGAAGGTCCCTGGTTTGAGTCCTGGTGGTGACAGCCATTTTTTTCTTCAGACTTTCCCCATCGCCGACTTTCTCTCAAACTAGTGAATATCAAACTTATCGGTTTGGTTTCCTTTTTGTCTTCTTATAATCTTCCCCGTTCCAGGTGTGAGGACTTCCACTGATGAAGATGACTAGGTTCGGAGGAAACTTTTCTTACATTTTCTGCTGTTAGTACTTTTTGAGGAGTTGTGTGTTGCTCCCTACATGGAAACTCGCGCTTTTCCTGCCGACTTGAGAATTTTCACTTGACGTACTGTTGAGAGAAATTTATTCGCAATGCTATGCAAAAGACTTTGCGCAGTACTGCCTGGTGTCCAAGGTCCTCGTCGTTGTATTTTTTTTTGTAGGCGTACAGTGGAACCTGTCTAAGACGACCGCTCAGGGGACCTTCAAAATATGGTCTTTGTTACCAGGTGGTCCCCTTATCCAGGGTCAATTGACTGGAAATACCATCCCTTGGTCCTGGCTCCAGTGATCCTTTAGGACAGGTGGTCGCCTTATCCGAGTGGTCTCCCTGACAGGTTTTACTGTAATAACATAGATGCGCGTAATGGAACATTAATATTGTGCAACACTAATGTTCGGTCCGCTGCTGTCTCTTGATGAATCTTTCCGTTGTTCTAGTTCAGTATCATTAGCTGTAGACCATCGCTATCCATGCCTGTTTGTCCCTTGCCCGCTCAGACGCCAGACCGAGATCCCGCACTGTGGTGAAAGTCATTCCGGCCTCTCTCATGTCCTCCGCAACGCTGGTTGCCAACGTCTTTCTTGGGCGCCATGGCCGGCCTCGGGAGTCTTGGGTCAAGTAGATGTTCATGGCTTTGCGGGCGGGCGTGTTGGGGGACATCCTCAGGATGTGTCCTGTCATTCTCCTCCTTCGCTGTTTAATCAGGGTGGATACTGGGCAGGGTTCACAACGTTCATACAGGCGTTCATTGCTGACTTTGTCTTGCAGCTTGATACCCAGAATGCATCGAAGTTGCTTTCTGTGGAGCACGTCAACCTGGGAGAGGTTTCCCGCCGTCAATCCCCATGCCTCACAGTTGTATAGGAGACTCGGGAGGACAAAGGCATTGTACACTCGTAACCTTCTCGTCTCTGCGATGTGCTCTCTCCTCGGCCACACCGTATACACTTTTAAAACATCAATTATCACGGTGTGCGTTTTTCTTCCCTCTTTTCCAACAAAGCTGCAATGCTATGGAATTGCCTACCGCCTTCTCTTACCGCTATAACCAGCCTCCCCGAATTCAAGCATTCTCTCTATCAGCATTTTCGCCGATATATTTATTACACTGACGGTATCCCAACTCCTTAATTACCAGATTTTGTATGCGTCGATCTATTTCCTTAGCCTATCCTCGATTAACTGCTCCCTCTACATAAAGTTGTCATTTCATTCTTCTTGCAGGAGATCCCCTCGACAGGCCCAAAGCCTTTGGGAAATCCTTTAAAAAAAAATACAAAAATATATACATCCGTCCGAAGGATTTTGACGCTTGACTCATTCGTCTGCCACAGTGTTCCTCCTCCCCAATCAATGATCCAAGTTGCTTCGAAGTCTTCCAATCGTGTGAGTCCGCTGTCAGATGTATCCACTCAGTCTTCGATTGGTTGACATTTAAGGACTACGTACCGAGAGTGTCCGATAGCATAGGCAGACTGGCCTCCAGCCACTTGCGGTCCCTTGAATAGAAATTGATGTCATCGGCATATCTGGTCTCGTGGAGGAGTAGGTTGTCTGTTGCTGGTCTGCTTGGGAAGTTGGCTCTGCACTCACGTAGTGCAGCCTCGAGGTAGCATATAAATAGCACAGGACTGAGGCCATCCCCTTTGTGGGGTACCAATCGTGCTGCGAAACGGTTGCGATGTGGACGACCCAATCGTGACCGTTATTGTTGTATTGTGTAGCAGGTAATGTTTAAGGCAAACTTCGTCAGGACCCGTAATGTTCTTCATGGTGTTCAGGAGCTTATCTCTGTTAATCGTATCAAACGCTTTTGACATGTCTAGGCCGAGGATGTGGCAAGCCCAACGGTACCGTATCGCCTTGGCATGGAGATATCTCTGCGTCCACACTACATCTGCTGTGCTGCGACCAGCTCTGATTGCGTGTCGCCAAGGTTTTTTTTATTTATTTATTTTTTTACTAGCAAACACAGCCCTACTAATAATCAGGGGAAGAGGACAACTGAAATGACACTGGACAACAAGACAAAGGGGAGTAGGGCGATGTGCCGATGTGGTTGGCGAAGCTCAACTGACCGAAGGTACCCGTCCCGGAGACTTGCCTGGAAATACGGCTGAGTACGACCAGAGAGAGGAGTTTTCGTATGTTGTTTAACAGAATGATGGGACGCATGTTAGCGACTGGGCCCTTGGTCTTGTTTGGTTTGTTTAATGGAATTAGCGTTCCTGTACCAATGACGGATGACATATCAGTGCCGTTGTCGATGCAAGTGTTAATGAGGGAGGCGATGATCGGTCCCAGCTCGTCCGTGGCATTTTTGAGCAATTCTCCAGGAACATTGTCTGGTCCACATGCCCTGCGATTCCTCAAGCGAGATGCTGCCTTCGAGATTTCACTAGGTGTGATCGGGTTGTTGAGGTGGCGTGGAGTTAGTGGAGCCACTGGGGTGGTCGCTGGGTCAGCGAACTGGCTTGCAAAATGCTCCCGAACGCGGTCTGCTTTGTCACTGTTCCTGAGCAATGAATGCCCATCCTGGGAGTGAACTGTAAGCGATAGCTTCTCATCTATTCTTTTGTTTGCTTCATCACGTTGAATTCTGCGAATCCTATGCGACAGCTGGTTTCTTTCGTGTTTTTGCGTGGCACAATTGCCTGAGTTGGAGTCAATCAGGATCTTGAGTTTTCTTTAGGCTGCACCTAGTCCTCAGTTATGCAGTAACATGAAAATACATGTACAGACAACCTTCAGGTCGATGATGTCATTATTGTGAAAGAAGAGCTATGATGATGTCATCTCCTAAAAGCGGAAGAAGTTTTGCTTACCTCGCGCGCACACATGATGTACAAGTACTTAGTGCCCGGCACATATGTGTAACGGTTGCTTGCGTATATCGTGTTGGCTGCGCGGTCGTGAAGGTTCAGCCACACAACGGGCGTATAGGCAATGCCCAGCTTGGTCTTGATCTGCTGCGCAAACGCCTGGACGCAACCGTTAGCGAACTGCGCGTTGTCCGGCGGTGTGGCTTGGAACGCCCTGCAGGTCGACACCGCATCCGAAAAGTAGCCTTCCTTGCTGGAATGCATAGTCAGCACCGTTCTAGTGGCGTTGCAATAGTACACTCCAATGCTGGGATCTGAACACACAGCGAACAGGTAGGAACAGCAAGTGAGGGTGTCTTATTTTGTGTTTGTCTCCACATGTCTCTTTGTAGGGCTGTGTTCCCAATAAAAAAAAGACAATCTTCGGAGAGGCAATAGTCTCATTCAGGTTATTTCTAATTAAATTACACTCTAGACATGTTCACTTCCATGGTAATGTCTGCTGCACTGATACTGTTTTTATCGCTAATAGAATGATACTAACACTGAATACAAGTACCGGTATATGAATTACGAACATTCACTCCTAAGTGCAAGAATATGCCAGATAGAGTGATAGTGAGAGAGAGAGAGAGAGAGAGAGAGACAGAGAGAGAGAGAGAGAGAGAGAGAGAGAGAGAGATAGATAGAGAGAGAGAGAGAGAGAGAGAGAGAGAGAGAGAGAGAGAGAGAGAGAGGGAGAGGGAGAGGGAGAGGGAGAGATCGATCGATAAAGAGATAGGAGAGAGAGAGGTCGGTTAATTAAGGAATGCACATAAACAAACTAAAAAAAGTATTTCGAAAAAGCTTGTTGCCACAGCAACGTGAAAACATCTTCAGCCGTACATCATAGCAATCTACTCACTAAATGCCAGAGGCAAGCAGGTCGGATTGCCAACAGTTCCGTTGCAGAATGCGTTCGGGCAGTTCCGAACATTCGGTGGCTCTGGCCTCCATTTATTGCAGGGCCAGTTACATTTGTTCGTGACTGGAGAGAAAAGAAAGAAAAAGCGGGTTGTAGTGTGTGAGTCGGAAGGCACGTTGCTAATACCGATATTATGGATTTGCAGTGAACTTGGGGCGGGAGATTTCCTCAACGTCCTTACTGCACGGCTTCCAACTAATCGTTTATTTTGGACATGAATAGTGGAACCTGCTAGCTTCTTTTGACACCGGAAACTTGGAATTTCAATATAGATCAGTAAATTACAGCTTAGTCATGTACGACGAATAGTCGCCCATCCCCAAACCCGGATTACACCACTATCCCTCTACTGAACTGCTCGTCCGTCTACCGTGTGTGTGTGTGTGTGTGTGTGTGTGTGCGTGTGTGTGTGTGCGCACGCGCGCGCGCGTGTGTGTGTGTTTGTATGACTGTGTGAATGTGTGTAGGACTCAGTGAGCAGTCACGTCTCGATGACCAATCACGATCCCCGTGACCAATCAAACAGTCACAAATCCCCGAAGAGCAGTCATAAAGTCACACACCAGTTTGAATTCCGATGACCAGACACAAACAGCCGCGACTTTCTCTGTGAACGGTCACAGGATCCACGTCAAAATATTACGACTCAACTGTAGGCATTCACGCGATCAGGATACTTTTTCCTTCACAGGTTTCAGAAGTGAGCAAGAAAGATTTCGATCAACTCACGATCTCCGCGTAGTTTACTTGTAGCTCGAGTCTGGTGTGTGTGGACTCCTTTCCAAAACGAAGGGTGGTCGAAAATCTTGCAGGCTTCAGATTGAATCTCTTTTGAGAGGACGTTCTGGCTAGTAGATTGTGCTATTCATCATATTTGAAGAACAAACTTCGTCGTTCAGAAAAGTTATTTCGGAATATTTTCAGTCATGTAAATGTTTGCATGCTGATCTTGCTAGAACGGAAACTGACTTCAACTGATCCAGCGTACAAGCAGCACTTGTTTTGTGTTTTTGGAGAGGATGAGTGACAAGATTACGGAGTCAGAAGTGGACATAGTCGACGATGCAGAGACGAAAATATAATGAAGATGGAAATGAAAATATTCAACTGATCCAGCGTACAAGCAGCACTTGTTTTGTGTTTTTGGAGAGGATGAGTGACAAGATTACGGAGTCAGAAGTGGACATCGTCGACGATGCAGAGACGAAAATATAATGAAGATGGAAATGAAAATAGTTCATCTCCGAGAAGGTACTGAGTACATCAAGCACCTTCGTGTGTGTAGCTCTGTCTTCTTTGTGGCCTCCACAGAAAAACAATGTCCAGCTTGTTACTGCCTCTCAGTTGAAGTCGTTCAGGGAAGACATCTATTCAAGACATCATCGATCCATTCTCAAGAACCATCGTAAGAAATTAAATCAAGTCATGTTATCGATAAGAATGGCGAACTAGACCAGAGAAGTGTGAGTGTCTTGTTTTGACTGCAGGAAACTGTATTTCAATATTCTGGCTCAACGTAGTCCTTACGCAGTTTACTGCTTCGAACACATCTTCATTCCTACTCCCAAATATCTCTGTAAAATGTATTGATGTAACATTATGGTACATGGTCTTTCTCGTTGTGCTGCTATGACGTGTATTATAAGTATATGCATACGAGTACTGTGTACCGTTTACTGTCTCCTTGTCAGTGTTTTTGGGCGATCCTCCACACCTTCATTTGTCCATTACGCTGTCCCCGGGGAAAATCGCGATTCCGCGGCCGCGTTTTTTCCGCGTTTTTTGCGATTTTTTAAAAGACCGGGTTTTCCGCGATTTTCCCGCGTTTTTTGAACTTTTTTTGTTGCACTACACGTACACACAGTGCACTGTTCGGTCAGCAACGTGCATCGTGCACGGCTTTGTACTCAAATAGTCAAATATGACGAGTGCTTACACCAGAGACTTGTAACTGATTGATATCACTACACACTCACTGAAAATTGCCTCATATCAACTGCCAACTTGCCGCATCATAAAATATTCACCGCATATTTGCAGCATATTTACCGCAAATTCACCGCAAATTATGCCATATGCCGCGTTTTTCCACGCGTTTTTTGCGATTTTTTTCCGCGATTTTCCCCGGGGACAGATTACGTATTTTCCTTCTAATTATTGATTTTATAGAAATATTCACTCACTACAACTTCTTGCGATTGCTGGTGCAAATGCAGCCTCCGATGCCTGCTTGTTAGTGAGGGTGCACCAGACATGTATCGATATGTATGTCTGACGAGATGTTCTTGAACTGGCATGCTGCTTTGACAAGAACTTGGGTTAGATAAGGTTTAGAATTGGGTGCTCAATGGCCTGGAGGAATTAAGCATGTTTGCGATCAGTGTCACCAAGACTACGGTTCTTCCGTTTACGCATCTCTTCTTGGCTTGTGGATTGGTTGAAATAAGATAAAAATAATAATACAGAAATACTTGTGTCCAAGTGTCGTCATGAACACAAGTTCTACCTCCGTAATGGGCCATTCACACTACGCCCGAAACGTGGCGTACGTGACGTTTTCGTCCGGATAGCCATGACAACATGGAACGTGGCGGGAAAATCGTATTCCTGATACGAAAACGTAGACGACGTATCCAGACCCCTGTACCGAGTTTCGTTCTATCGTTCCCAGCAGTTTGTGTCCAAAAGAAGCTGTACACACAGCTGTACGAGTAACGTGTACGTGCCTGTGTGAATGCACCTGCATGAAAACGACGTCTGCCAGCACGTCGTGTTCCAGAACGTGACGCGTATTGTAACGTAGTATGAATAGGCTATAACTTTGTCCGCTGGTCACGTGAATCTAGCTGGTAGTCCCGCTGCCTATTTGTGTGTGTGTGTGTGCGTGCGTGTGTGTGTGTGTGTGTGTGGATGTGTGTGTGTGTGTGTGTGTGTGTGTGTGTTTGGCCTCACCGTCAGTGCCACCAAAACCAAGTTCATGGTCTCTGGCCCCAACATCTCTAACGACGGTCTAGAGCCGCTCGCGATTCGAACTATGGAGATTGCCCATGTGTCGTCTTTTCGTTACCTTGGATCCAACATACACAGCAACGGCCGATGTCATGATGATGTCACATCCCGGATTGCACAAGCTGCCAAATCGTTTGGCGCTCTGAAGAAATCGATATTCCACGATGTAACACTGACAATATCCATCAAACGGTCAGTGTACAATGCTTGTGTGCTGTCGACTCTGCTCTATGGGTCCGAATGCTGGGTACCGCTACAGGCTGATGTTCATGCGTTGTCTGTCTTTCATCTCCGTTGTGTCCGCACCATTCTGGGCATCAGTCGTCAAGATGTATGGAATGACAGGATAACTAATGTTGAAGTTCTGGAGCGCTGGGGAGATACCTTGGACATGGAGTGTCGTCTCAGCAGACGTCGCCTTGAGTGGCTTGGTCATGTGGCAAGGATGGAGGATGAGCGCATCCCGAAGGCTCTACTGTTCGGTCGTTTCCAAACAAGAGACCTGCCCATGGTCCGCGGAAAAGGTGGCGAGACTGTGTTTCGGAGTGACGTCAAACCACTTGACGACTGGTATGAAGTGGCCACCTCTTCTCGCTCCAAATGGCGCCAGGCTTACCGTTGTCTGCCAGACAAGCAGAACAGACCTCGACCATCACCGGTTGTGTGCCAAACTTGTCACCGCTCCTTCAGTCGTGTAAGTGACAGGAAGCGACACAAGTGTACAGCTACGCGTGCCCTACCCGTAAGCCAACAGCCAGGAAGCTGTCACTGCAATCAGTGCGACAGACGGTTCCGGAGCAAGGGTGGATTTGCCCGACACAAGTGCTCGCCAGCAACATCACCAGCAGAGGCATCTTCTGACACACTTGAGTCACCGGTTACAAACATATGTCCTGCGAACGCTGCAGCTTCCACTGCGCCCGCTGCAACCGCTGTGTGCTATGGCGCCAAGGCATGAAACGTCACAAGTGCAGCCGTGGCTCGGCCAGAGCAACCAACACAGACAGTAGCTCCTTCTGCATCGTTTGCTATTGCAGTCGGCGTTTCAGTAGACCACAGGACCTATCCCGTCATCGCCCCTACTGTTCCGAACCTGCTCAACCCCCCATGGGGTCTGCATAGCCAGAATATGGCAGCGCGTCCAAGGTCCAAGGTGTGTGTGTGTGTGTGTGTGTGTGTGTGTGTGTGTGGCGGTCAATTCTTCAGCCTTGCGAAGCTGTTGAATTGTGCAATCCCAGCACAAGCTGCTATGGCTTCTGCTGTAGCATCGCTATCATCGCCTCCGGCGATGGGCGTCCAATGGTCCAATGGTGTGTGAGTAAGTGTGCGCACGCATGTGTGATTGTGTGTGTGTTTGTGTGCATGCGTGAGAAAGAGATTGCGTGTGTGTGTGTGTGAGAGAGAGAGAGAATGTGTGTGTGAGAGAGATGTAGAGAATGAGTGTGTGTGTGTGTGTGTGTGTGTGTGTGTGTGTGTGTGTGTGTGTGTGTGTGTGTGTGAGAGAGAGAGAGAGAGAGAATGTGTGTTTGTGAGAGAGATGTAGAGAATGAGTGTGTGTGTGTGTGTGTGTGTGTGTGTGTGTGTGTGTGCGTTCGTGGATGTGTGTGTGTGTGTGTATGTGTGTGTATGTGTGTGTGTGTGATTTAGAGAATGAATGTGTGTGTGTGTGAGAGAGAGATGTAGAGAATGTGTGTGTGTGTGTGTGTGTGTTTGTGTGTGTGTGTGTGTGCGCGTGTATGTGTGTGTGTGTGCGTGTGTTTGCGCGTCTACGCGCGTGTGGGTGTATGTGTATGTGAGAAAAGAGAGAGTGTGGGTGTATGTGTGTGTGTAATGGTGTGGGCATGTGTGGATTTGGCATTTAAGTCCCCAGCTCTATTCTATGTCATTCACACTGGAACTGCTGCTGCATAGCCCCAAGTCTGAAGACTTGGCAACTTCACGCCTGCACCTGACTCTTGCGCTATGATACGCGTCGCCTATGATACCCCTCAGAATTTCCCACCTTACTCGCCCTTATGTTCAGGCTGCCCGTTCAGGAGCCATCAGTTGCCTGACGATCGTAGTAATACGTGAAACTCAGAGTTGTGACAAAGCTTCCAATCTCCCTTGTAATACAGAGATACCTATATTCTGCCTGTGACTACTCACAGAGAAAGAGTGGTCGCAACTGTACATTCCGCATGTAATTGTTCGCATGGAATTATAGTGGTCACAACTGTATTCTGTGACTGCTCATAGGGAATTATAGTTTCCACAGCAAATTCTGCAGTACGAAGCACTCTGCGAGCAGTCACGAACTGTGTACTTTACACATGTACCTGTATGGTGATTTGTGACTGGTCATGCGCCATTGTGACTGGTAAACTAATTTGTGACTGGTCATGGGGGGTTAATGACTGTTTGACTGGTCACACGGGGATCGTGATTGGTCATGGGGCCTTAACTGGTTACTGAGTCCTACATATATGTGTGTGTGTGTGTGTCTGTGTGTGTGTTAGTGTAGACACACACACAAACACAGGTAGGACACATTTCTAGAACCATCATCAGCTGAGATGCTGTGGCGAAGTCGCGGACTTGCCGCGCGGCGCTGCACTGGCACTAGCGACTCACGCTGCAAACGTATTTAGAAAATATGCCCACTCACGCTCGTATACTTGTGTTCATTAGAAAACCTCCCTGGAATCATATGCATAACCTCTATAAGAAGACTATAATCGAGTGAGACCCGGGAAAGAACTGTACATGCATTGCTGGTTACACTGAAGAGGGCATTTCTTGTGTTAGGAAAATCACCAAACGGCCAGGCCACCAGGTTCCAGGTGTGCAACACCATTTTGGCGATGTGAAACTCACTAGCCATCCCGCGGAAATTTGCTTGAATAACCGGGTCCACAGAAAACGTGTAGTGGCGACCGGGGTAGGTGAAGGCCGAGCAAAGTCTATGGTCGTGAATCAACGGGTTGCCGGTCAAGTAAACAGTGCTGGAAGGAACAGAGGGCAAGGAAAATACTATTAACGTTATGTCTCTCAGAATTTGGAGACCAGCAACAACAAGATATGTCTGTCTTCTGCTTCTTGTTATTTACTTGAAAAGCACATAGCAACCAGGCACGCAAACAAAGGAAAGAGAGTAAGCGGAGACGATAGAGATACAGAGGGAGAGATAGATAGATAGATAGATAGATAGAGATAGATAGATAGAGATAGGGAGAGAGAGAGGGAGAGAGAGAGAGAGAGAGAGAGAGAGAGAGAGAGAGAGGGAGAGAGAGAGATACAGAGAGAAATGAGTAGAGAAAGAGATGGAGAGAGAGAGAGAGAGAGAGAGAGAGAGAGGGGGGGGGAGAGAGAGAGGGGGAGAGAGAGAGAGATACAGAGAGAAATGAGTAGAGAAACAGAGAGTAGGGAGTATGATTTTTTGAGGACTACATGTAGAAATTGAACGGTAGTCGGCACACTGACAGAACGTAGCCATTCAGCCGAGGCTGCAGGCACTCCACCGACCAAGAGGTTTCAGTATCGGCAGTATGGAGAGTAACGCACCTAACATGGAACAAAGCTAACGTATTGGAACAATGCTTTCTTGCATATTCACAACTATTAATTTTATGATTTATGCGGAAGCTTTGCATGTGGAACAAATATAATGGAATAGCTGTTGGTTAGAAGAGGATGTGACGATGATAAATGTACCAAGCTGCATCAGGGGCATCGACCGTTAGAAGGTCCAATAGCCCATTGAACTCCCCTCTTCCGAGAAAGCCGCTTCACTAGTTTTGTCAGTGATCAAGACCATGCAGAACAAGTACAAGTGTGCATCTGTGTGTGTGTGTTTGTGTGCGTGTGTATGTGTGTGTGTGTGTGTGTGCGTGCGTGTGTGTGTGTGTGTGTGTGTGTGTGTGTGTCTTCTTTCATTCTCCTGGGTGGTTACCAACAGCCAGTGTATGCCGGAGTATGTGGTGTGGTGTGTGTGTGTGTAAAAAGAAAAAATGGAAGAAATGAAAAAAATGAGAAATAGGGATTCACTGGCCATAAAAAGCCGCTTCAATCAGCTGTGTGGTGGATACCAGGCTAAAATTAGTGGCGGTCAATTCATCAGCCTTGCAAGCTGTTGAATGGTGTAATCCCAGCACAAGTTGCTATGTCTAACATAGCTGTTCGCTATCATCGCTTTCGCGATGGGCAAGTCTGAGGAGGTGAGGAGGTGTGTGTGTGTACACACACAGTCATACACACTCGCATATACATGTACACACACACACGTACACACACCTGGCACGACACACCTTTGACCTTTGACGCCCATCGCCGGAGGCGATGATAGCAATGCTAAGGCAGAAGCCATAGCAACTTGTGCTGGGATTGCACCATTCAACAGCTTGCAAGGCAGGAAGAATTGACCGTCACTATTCAGCCTGGTCTACACCATACAGCTATTTTGAAGTGACTTTTACGACACACACACACACCATGTACCATGCACCACACACACACACACACACACACACACACACACACACACACACACACACACACACACACACACACACACACACACACGCACACACACACACGCACACACGCACACACACACACCACACCACACACACAAACTTAAGACACACACACACACACAAACACAAACAGACACACACATACACACAACCACGGCACACACACACACACACACACACACACACACACACACACACTCACATAGACGTACACACATCGCATACATTCCCTTCCATGTAATTTTGCGACACCGCCCGTTTGGTTCTGCGAATTCAAATAAAACCGTACCTATACACACCCACCCACTCACCCATGCACACATAATTATAATACAGCAAAACCTGTCAAGGCGACCACTCGGATAAGGCGACCACCTGTCCTAGAAGACCACTGCAACCAGGACTAAGGGATGCTATTTGCAGTCAAGTGGTCCTGGCCTGGATAAGGCGACCACCTGATGACAGAGACCACATATTGAAGGTCCCTTGAACGGTAGTCTTAGACAGGTTTCACTGTATTAAAACACACACACACTTACACACATGAAACACGAGCCCACACGCAAACCTCCACGTCTTTAGCTCGCAGCGCTTACCATGAGCTCCCCAGTCCATTGAAAACGTTGTGTGGAATGGTGCGGATGTGGTTGTTTGAAAGATCCCTGGAAGATAACAATCAGGAGACATTGAAAGATTATGCAATGACTGCCATAGCACCGCCGACAACACGTTCTACAGTAAAACCTGTCAAGGCGACCACTCGGATAAGGCGACCACCTGTCCAAGAAGACCACTGAAACCAAGGGATGCTATTTCCAGTCCAACGACCCTGGATAAGGAAACCACCTGGTAACCTCTTGATATTTGTACTCTGTACTGTTGAGGCAACGAAGTTAAAAAATATAAACCAAACCAAACCAGAGACCACATTTCGAAGGTTCCATGAGCGGTTGTTTTAGACAGGTTTTACTGTTCTTTCGATTTGGCGTAGACAGGGATTGGCTAGATTATGCCCAGGGGAAAGAGAAAGGAGGCAACAGAGGAGTTATGCCATCTCTATCATACCAGTAGCACCAAGATCCTAAGGGGGCAGACTACCCAAAATTCGCTGAAAAATGGAATTTGTAAATTCATACTGAGTGCTACGTCAGTTGAAAGAGCATGAATAGCTGCAAATTCTCTGAAAATTGTGTCCCGATCTGACCGGCCGTTCAAGAGTTATGGCCGAAAATGTGCCCTTGCAAGGAAAGATTTTTTTGTTGCACGCTGTCATTTGTTGGCAGCACTGTATTTGAATGTGAGCAGACCGTGCGCAACTTGTCGTATCATGGAAACACGCGAAAGTGTGCAGAATTGTCCAAAAAAGTCCAAAAATCACGTTAAAAACCACGTATTGGGCTCGCCCGCCGCCGTGTAGCAGGACTTTTGCCAGCACCCTCGTGACGTTGCAGATAATTATGTGGCTTGATTATTGTAGTTGACGTTGATTTTGTGACTTTGGCAAGTTTGAGTCGTGTCAAGAAGTCAGGTAGGATTCAGTACTAGTAGTCACTACTAGGCAGTAGTGAAACGTGAGTGGTAGTCTTTGCCGGTTTCTGAGGGCATCCTGGATTTGGTGTGCAGCGCTGTGGAAATGGCTTGCTGTGGAGGTCCCAGCACTGGATGTTGCATCAAAGGTACGACCTTGTAGCACGTGCTAAACCTAAAAAAAATCAAAAATTGACTTGGGTCTGTGGGAGTCTGTGAGAGAACGCCCACTCGTTCCGTTGTGACAGATTCCAGGGCCACGTTGAGGGGCCCTACCCCACCACCCATGGCTGCTTCTGGACTTGTTTTAGGTTTGGGTCCCGCGCACGGACAGAATGGGCACGAAAATGTGAGAAAAATTGTAAATGCATTTGTTTGGCTCTTGGGTGGCTCGCACACCGTGGCACTATGCCGGAAATTTGAGTTTTTCCGGCCTGGAAAGCCTGTCAGTGAGGCGCAAGAACTTGTAAATCATGTCCTGAGGGCCAGCATAGTGGCAGGAGTGTGTGGTCAAAATTTCACTCAAATCCACTGAGAAACACCAAAGTTACGGTCAATTGAATGCCATATGAAATGTATGGGTAGGCTGCCCCCTTAAGGGGGCACATCACCCAAAATTCGCTGAAAAATCGAATTTGTAAATTCATATTGAGTGCTACGTCAGTTGAAAGAGCATGAATAGCTGCAAATTCTCTGAAAACTGTGTCCCTATCTGACCAGCCGTTCAAGAGTTATGGCCGAAAATGTGCCCTTGCGAGGAAAGATTTTTTTGTTGCATGCTGTCATTTGTTGGCAGCACTGTATTTGAATGTGAGCAGACCGTGCGCAACTTGTCGTATTATGGAAACACGCAAAAGTGTGCAGAATTTTGCCCCAAGTCCAAAAAAGTCCAAAAAATCACGTTAAAAAACCACGTATTGGGCTGCACGGCGGCGGGCAAAGCCCGCCGCCGTGCAGCAGGACTTTTGCCAGCACCCTCGTGACGTTGCAGATATGTGGCTTGATTATTGTAGTTGACGTTGATTTAGTGACTTTGGCAAGTTTGAGTCGTGTCAAGAAGTCAGGTGGGATTCAGTACTAGGCAGTAGTGAAACGTGAGTGGCAGTCTTTGCCGGTTTCTGAGGGCATCCTGGATTTGGTGTGCAGCGCTGTGGAAATGGCTTGCTGTGGAGGTCCCAGCACTGGATGTTGTATCAAAGGTACGACCTCGTAGCACGTGCTAAACCTAAAAAAATTCAAAAATTGACTTGGGTCTGTGGGAGTCCGCGAGAGAACGCCCACCCGTTCCGTTGTGACAGATTCCAGGGCCACGTTGAGGGGCCCTACCCCACCACCCATGGCTGCTTCTGGACTTGTTTTAGGTTTGGGTCCCGCGCACGGACAGAATGGGCACGAAAATGTGAAAAAAATGTAAATGCATTTGTTTGGCTCCTGGGTGGCTCGCACGCCGTAGCACTATGCCGGAAATTTGAGTTTTTCCGGCCTGGAAAGCCTGTCAGTGAGGCGCAAGAACTTGTAAATCATGTCCTGAGGGCCAGCATAGTGGCAGGAGTGTGTGGTCAAAATTTCACTCAAATCCACTGAGAAACACCAAAGTTACGGTCAATTGAATGCCATATGAAATGTATGGGTAGGCTGCCCCCTTAAGGGGGCACATCACCCAAAATTCGCTGAAAAATCGAATTTGTAAATTCATATTGAGTGCTACGTCAGTTGAAAGAGCATGAATAGCTGCAAATTCTCTGAAAACTGTGTCCCTATCTGACCAGCCGTTCAAGAGTTATGGCCGAAAATGTGCCCTTGCGAGGAAAGATTTTTTTGTTGCATGCTGTCATTTGTTGGCAGCACTGTATTTGAATGTGAGCAGACCGTGCGCAACTTGTCGTATTATGGAAACACGCAAAAGTGTGCAGAATTTTGCCCCAAGTCCAAAAAAGTCCAAAAAATCACGTTAAAAAACCACGTATTGGGCTGCACGGCGGCGGGCAAAGCCCGCCGCCGTGCAGCAGGACTTTTGCCAGCACCCTCGTGACGTTGCAGATATGTGGCTTGATTATTGTAGTTGACGTTGATTTAGTGACTTTGGCAAGTTTGAGTCGTGTCAAGAAGTCAGGTGGGATTCAGTACTAGGCAGTAGTGAAACGTGAGTGGCAGTCTTTGCCGGTTTCTGAGGGCATCCTGGATTTGGTGTGCAGCGCTGTGGAAATGGCTTGCTGTGGAGGTCCCAGCACTGGATGTTGTATCAAAGGTACGACCTCGTAGCACGTGCTAAACCTAAAAAAATTCAAAAATTGACTTGGGTCTGTGGGAGTCCGCGAGAGAACGCCCACCCGTTCCGTTGTGACAGATTCCAGGGCCACGTTGAGGGGCCCTACCCCACCACCCATGGCTGCTTCTGGACTTGTTTTAGGTTTGGGTCCCGCGCACGGACAGAATGGGCACGAAAATGTGAAAAAAATGTAAATGCATTTGTTTGGCTCCTGGGTGGCTCGCACGCCGTAGCACTATGCCGGAAATTTGAGTTTTTCCGGCCTGGAAAGCCTGTCAGTGAGGCGCAAGAACTTGTAAATCATGTCCTGAGGGCCAGCATAGTGGCAGGAGTGTGTGGTCAAAATTTCACTCAAATCCACTGAGAAACACCAAAGTTACGGTCAATTGAATGCCATATGAAATTTTTGGGTGATGTGCCCCCTTAAGGGGGCACATCACCCAAAATTCGCTGAAAAATCGAATTTGTAAATTCATATTGAGTGCTACGTCAGTTGAAAGAGCATGAATAGCTGCAAATTCTCTGAAAACTGTGTCCCTATCTGACCAGCCGTTCAAGAGTTATGGCCGAAAATGTGCCCTTGCGAGGAAAGATTTTTTTGTTGCATGCTGTCATTTGTTGGCAGCACTGTATTTGAATGTGAGCAGACCGTGGGCAACTTGTCGTATTATGGAAACACGCGAAAGTGTGCAGAATTTTGCCCCAAGTCCAAAAAGTCCAAAAAATCACGTTAAAAAACCACGTATTGGGCTGCACGGCGGCGGGCAAAGCCCGCCGCCGTGCAGCAGGACTTTTGCCAGCACCCTCGTGACGTTGCAGATATGTGGCTTGATTATTGTAGTTGACGTTGATTTAGTGACTTTGGCAAGTTTGAGTCGTGTCAAGAAGTCAGGTGGGATTCAGTACTAGGCAGTAGTGAAACGTGAGTGGCAGTCTTTGCCGGTTTCTGAGGGCATCCTGGATTTGGTGTGCAGCGCTGTGGAAATGGCTTGCTGTGGAGGTCCCAGCACTGGATGTTGTATCAAAGGTACGACCTCGTAGCACGTGCTAAACCTAAAAAAATTCAAAAATTGACTTGGGTCTGTGGGAGTCCGCGAGAGAACGCCCACTCGTTCCGTTGTGACAGATTCCAGGGCCACGTTGAGGGGCCCTACCCCACCACCCATGGCTGCTTCTGGACTTGTTTTAGGTTTGGGTCCCGCGCACGGACAGAATGGGCACGAAAATGTGAAAAAAATGTAAATGCATTTGTTTGGCTCCTGGGTGGCTCGCACGCCGTAGCACTATGCCGGAAATTTGAGTTTTTCCGGCCTGGAAAGCCTGTCAGTGAGGCGCAAGAACTTGTAAATCATGTCCTGAGGGCCAGCATAGTGGCAGGAGTGTGTGGTCAAAATTTCACTCAAATCCACTGAGAAACACCAAAGTTACGGTCAATTGAATGCCATATGAAATTTTTGGGTGATGTGCCCCCTTAAGAGTAGATAATAATCTCCCAGATTGCGCAAATAATTCCTTCACTGATCAGATCTGGGACGGCGAAATCCGTGTTGCACGTCATAGTGGGACGTCATGAGTAGGGGAAGTGTGTTTGTGGTGGACCGCGTAGACGGAATGACGCAAGTGACCCAAAAAAATGACGTGCACCACGGATCACGCGGTCCCACAACCCCGAATTACCCATCTTATTTGCGTACTCTGGGGGAATATAGACTCTTGTTAGCACCACGAGTACATAAACCGAGGTTGGTAGCAGAAATAATTGCAAAGTTTCTCAAAAGGTGCCGTGATTGTGAGGGCACTGTTGTACTTTTTGGCACAATTTGTTTAATTAACTCAAAAGTTTAACTAGTTGCTGCATAACTCGTTCTCAGGTGTTTTTTGTCTCTTTTTACACATTTTTTCTCAGATATTAAGAGGGACTTATGCCACAGCATGTGTGTATGTGATAATGTGCGGGGTCGTACATGCATGAACATTAACACAATAGTCCTCCATTATAAGCACCACCCTTAGACATGTGATTCTAGTGGAAAATACGCTTGTATATTGTATCTTCGAAGGCCTCTTGGAGTTTGCGAGACTGGGTTTCTACAGGAGACCGCTAAAGTAATATGTCGCTATTCCCGAGTTGGCGGTACTCATGTGGCTGAACGTATGCAGTCGACTACGTCTGAAGATTTTAATGTCGCTATTCGCGAGTTTTACCCGAGGTCATTATTAAGCATGATACCAAGAGTACATAACCCCTTGATGATACCTATTAGTTGTGTAAGTATCCCTTGCTCAAGCTCTAGGCAGCATGTCATAATATTGTTGAAACCTTCACTGCCCTCAGCGCTTACAGTTTGCCTACGGATGCTAGACCGCTGAAAAGTCCAAAATCAAGAGAAGAGATCCAGTTTTCCTTGAATGTCCTGGAGATAAGTGAACCAGAAAAGCGCATATTCGTGCGTGCACATAGTAACGGGAACATACCCACACACGCAACGCCCACACCCACATCCACACAACACACGCGAACACAAGCATATTTACACACACAAACCAACTCACAAGCAAGTAAACAAGCAAGCACACCCACCCATGCACACACCCACACCCGCACACACGCACGCACACACGCACACATGCACATACACACACACACTCATACACACACCACACACACATAAACACACACACATTTTCGGCGAATATTTGCACACATGCATATACACACACACACTCATACACACACCACACACACACACGTTTTCGGCGAATATTTCGGCCAGCCGATCTGGAGAAAGACTAGTTCTTATGGCCACTTGCAAGTACGGAAAAGAGACACATTTTCCGAACTTTGAGGCTCCAAAAGTACAACATGAATACTGATTACATGTCTGTATCCTCGTGTGCCAAAGCATACTATCAGGATTTTGCGAGCACAATGCGAGAATCCATGAAAAAAAAAAAAAAAATTCACGGTTCGCGTGAGACTCGGCCAAAGGCCCAGTTTTCCGCATCCGCAGGAACGCCACCACCCTCTTGGATCAAGGCGCAGATGCAGCTCCTAAACGGTGGGAGGTGAGTAGATCAGACCCACCACAAAGTGGTCAAAGACCGAAATCCCATTCACTGCATGGCACGAGGGAAACATGGATGCATGCATCCATGTTTCCCTCGTGCCAGGCCACGAGTTCCCAATTAACTGTGGGTCGCAGCACGGCTGGAAAAAATCCTTCCGCTTCCAAGCAGGACTTGAACCTGGTACCCTCTGTTTCTCAATCATGGTCTTAGACCATCCCACTATGCCTGCCTGCAATCCATGAAAGCATTATTATTATTGATATTTGAGGGATTCCCCAAAGGCTGAAGCCTAAATCAAGAGGGTCTCCGAGAATAAATATGCGTGTTCAATACGTGTACAATAGGGTGCAATTTAAAAAGCATAATTGCATGATGTCGCGAGCATAATGCGCCGAAGCCTAGTGGCTACCGCGGTAACCATGGTAAAGCACAATGAAAAGAAGTAAAGACACGCTTGTCTACTTACACTTCCCACAACCTTGGCGGCGACTGTGGGAACATGTTCACAGGGAGGTGCTGAATAGCGTTTCCATCCAACTTCCTGCAGGGGTGAACAGAGTGCAAGCGGACACATTAGTTGTTGGAAACTGTTGTTGAATTTCATTAAAATGTTGCCACACAAACAGGTGGTCCTTGGCGGATCATGCTGGCATGATTGCTGGCATAATCTTCGGACTTTGTCTAAAAAAATTATGCCCTGGCAAAATGAGGACTTAGGAGACCAGACGGCAGACGGTCGGCATAAGTTAACCTTACGATGCTGGCTGTAGATTAAATTAATGCTCTAGACATATTTCGGCATTTTACAGGAAAGAAGCTGGTGAATGTTACCCCTTTCAAAAGCCGTGCTGTCATGGTGCCAGATTCGTAGTAACGTTGCAAAGTGCAACAAGAGTGCAAGGGTACAATATAGCACCATCATTGGCAAAATTCCAGCATCTCGTAGCATACTAGTAATCACTGGCATGATTTGGGTGTAATGGAAAGCAAGCAATTTACCGAGCATAATCCGCCAAGGGCGACAAACAGGCGATGGCACCTCCTTTTATACATATCATGTTGGGTTAGCTTTTGGGCCAACCCTAGTTAGCGATAAGACCGATGCGCTGCTCTCTATCTCATGCTAGATATAATTATGCGAATGAGCTGGCTTTACACGTGCACTCAACTGCTGCGCATGCACGCCCAAATGTGCGCCCAAATCGCCTTGGGTAGCTCTTGCTGCGCTGACTTTGGCTTGCGCTTTCCTTTGCATGCATGCAGTGTCGCTGAGCAGCAACCGGAATTTGTTTGCCAGAGAATATAATTATATATTCAGACTCCTAGTCCTTGTAGATTCCTCGCAGCCATTTACTGCACGACAAACATGTTGTCTACCTCTGAAGCACGGCGTATGAACGTGTCGGACTTGCGGGCCGAGCTGGAAGGCCGTGGGCTGAATTCGAGAGGAACCGAAAGCCCCAGCTTCTTGCCCGTTTGCTACTCCGTATCCAGGACACGTCGAGCTCGGCGGCACGGGAATCTCGATCCCCGTCGGCTACGCCATCCTTGTGGCACGGGCACGAGCAAGAGCAGGATCTGGAGAGCGTTGCAGCAGCTTCTCCGACTCCCCAGATCCCGGACCGGAGCAGGAATGACGATTTGCGCCAGTTTGTGCGGCAGGAAGTACATTCCGCCGTCACCGTTGCCTTGTCGGAGGCGATCGAGGCGACCAATGCTGGCCACCATCACTGCCCCTGGATCTGGAACTCAGCCTTTGGCGGAGTCTTCCAACGCTGGTAATCTCTCCGTTCCCCAGACTATACGAGAGAAAATATTGAAGGGGGACTTTGTAGATTTCACCCAGCTGCTGCCCGATACTATTGCCACCTCGTATTCTGCCCCACGCCAGCTTCAGCTGCAGTTCAGCAGTGGCGGCCAGTTTCTGGAGGTGGTGGAAGGTGGAGCTGCCCAGCCCGTTTGTCGACGCGTCCACGACTTGCCGACATAGGCATGGACTCTCTTCATGAATGTCGTGTGTTCTGCCAACCCGTCCCGCCTACAGGAGATGCTCTCATACCAAGCCACCATTGTTGCTGCCAACAGGCAATACTATCCGGAGGCTTGGCTGTCGTACGACACCCAGTTCCACTCTGCCATTTCTGCTCAGCCAGGCAAGCGCTTTGATGTCATTGACATCAATCTGTGGCAAATGTCCGTGACTAGCCGATCAAGGCCCACATGTGAGTCCTGCCACCTCGTCCATCCCGGAGGCGGCCAGTGTCCCTTTCGTCCCCAACGTAACAACCACCCCTACTTAACAACCACCAAGCCTTCAATGGAGTCCATACGTTGTCTAATGGCCAACTGATCTGCCGCAACTTCAACGCTGGGCGTTGCAGTCTCAGCACGTGCAAGTACTCCCATGTCTCCAACCACTGGGGATTCAAGAATCACAACGGATCTAAGTGCGGTAGGCGCCAGTAACTCTGCTGCTTTCGCTGCAGCTCCCGCGATTGTACATATTTCTCCCTGCACTTCACGTTCTACTGATTTCACAAGCGCATGTCCTGCTGTCCACACACTCCTCTCTGTTTCTCGCTTCGAATCACTGTTCCGTAACCACCCTGACAGTTCATTGGCTTCGTATGTTATAAACGGCCTCCGCTGCGGCTTTGACATTGGCTTTACCGCCAACCGCATAACTAACCAGCACTCGTCCAACCTCTCATCAGCATTCCAGCACTCTGCATTTGTGCTTGCACAGCTCACCGCTTCCTGCAACGCCGGCTACACGGCTGGCCCATTTGATTCGCCCCCATTCACATTAAAATATTTTATGTACTGCTCTGGCATTGGCGCCGTTCCGAAAAAGAATGGCAAGCTACGCTTGATACACCACCTGTCCAGCCCTGCCGGCTCCAGCGTTAACGATGGGATCCCTGCCGAGCCTTTCTCTTTGCAGTACATCAGCATTGATGAAGCCATTAATATCATTTTGTCCTCCCCGTCTCCTGTCTATCTCTCTAAACTCGATGTGAAGAGCGCTTTTCGTCAAATACCTGTCCGCCCACAGGATTGGCATCTCCTCGGCATCCTGTGGCAGGGGAAGTACTACTACGACGTGTCTTGCCATTTGGGCTCCGCTCTAGCCCGGTGGTATTTGATGCCATGGCAGCCACCATCGAATGGATAATGTACCACGAATTCTCCATCCCTAATTTGCTGCATTTCCTGGACAACTACTTGTGCGTGCGCGTGGGCCAGGCGGTGGCGAATCGGCAGCTGGCCATTCTTCTTTGTGCATTCTCATACCCCGGAGTCCCGCTCGCGCCTGCGATGGTGGAAGGCCCGTCTCGTACCCTGACATTCCTGGGCATTATCCTGGATTGTGAGAAGATGGAAGCCCGGCTCCCTGACGACAAATTGGCTGACGTCAAGCGCCTGTTGACTGCAGCGAGCATCAACCTCACCATGTCTCAGCGCGAACTCGAATCTCTTCTGGGGAAACTCTCCTTCGCTGCAGGAGTCATCGTACCCGGCCGGACATTTATGTGGCGCCTGTGGTCTATTTGCAGTCGCTACCAGCAGCCTCACTACCGCATCAGTCTGACTACTGAGCTCCAGGAAGATATCCAATGGTGGCTACGGCTCCTGGAACAATGGAACGGAAAATCATTCTTCCTGTTCCCAGATTGGACACCATCTCCAGACTTGGAGCTGCTCACTGATGCCAGTGGCACCCTGGGCTGGGGCGCATTCAACAGCGGCCACTGGCTTCAAGGGACCTGGTCGCCTGAGCAACTCGCTCACAGCATTGAGTGGAAGGAGCTCTACGCGTTGGTCACAGCGTGCTGCACGTGGGGCAAGGAATGGCGCCAGCTTCGTATCACAATGCACTGTGACAACAAGGCTGTGGTAGATTGCATCCGCTCCGGCACATCCAAGTCACCGCCAGTGATGACCCTGATCAGCGAGCTGTTCTTTGTGTGCGCCCGCTTCAATTTCACCGTCACTGCTGCTCACATTGCTGGCCAGTCTAACTGCATTGCTGATTCGCTGTCTCGTTTCCGCATGGAAGAATTCCGGCGTCTCGCCCCAGCTGCTCAAGCACAACCAGACCGAGCAGTTCTGCCATTCCAGTCGATGTAATATAGCCTTGACATACAGGTACCGATTGCCATTGCTAAATTGCCGTGTTGAGAACCTGCGTTGGATTTCATCCATCTGCATGCCTACCTTTATCCATCTCGTGCCTTAATCATTTGTTCTTAGCTCTCGTGCATTGGTGGTGAACGCTTGCTGGGGTGCCGTGTGCTGTTTTTTTTGGGAACAGCTTCCTTCAACTGGTTGCTTTGCTGCTCCTATCTCTGCTTAAAATTGCATACTATTGGTCGGCTGTTTGCGACGCCAAACAGTAGTCATTGCACCCGGTCGCGGGTACTAATGCCGCTCAAGCATGAGCGATTGCTTTGGCCGTTTGCAACGCCAATTGCTTTACCCTGGTTGGCTGTTTGCAACGTCGATCAGGGAACTTTGCACCCGGTCGCGGGTACTGCTGCGGCTCAGTCGTGAGCGATCACTTTGGCTGTTTGCAACGCCAAACGCTTCACCAGTTGATCGAAACCAGCACACTGGTGTACCCCAATCATCCTTGGGCGGTATTGTGAGAATATGCGGGTATGCATGCAGCTTTGCTCTGTGACTTTCCATTGCATGTAGTCACTTGGCTCTCCCATTTCCTATACACTTCTCTGATGCATTCGGGTGCAAGCGCTAAAGCGACATAACACGTGAAAGGCCCAGCACAGAATTTGAAACCACCAGCACAGATACAGGTAAGTTCAACTGTGCAAATAATTCAGCACCGTTTATCCTGCTTGTAACGAACTATGACTTTGGCATTACATGTACATGAAGGTTGCGGAAAACTACCCGTAAATTTCGAAAAAGGCGAAGTTTTATTTATTTATTTTTATTCCAAGCAATACATGGCTGGGGTAGCCAATGGCCACTTTGCGTGGCGATTGCAGGGTTTTTATAGCCAACCACCGCTAGTTTACATATCAGTGGCATGTGTGGTATCAACTGAAAGCATGTGAATTTAAGTTTCTTTCCACGAACGATTAACCCAATCGGACGAACCAACACTGAATTATAGCTTTTGTGTGTTGCCTATTGTCAACAATTTGTTTTTAATTTATACGTGGAATTCGTTATTATTGCCGCTGTGAGCACGTCCCAGGCGCTAGGCACGTAGATCTGCGTAGCTAGGCCTCTCCTCCACGTACATGTACATGTAGCTCTAGTATCCCGTACCAGCACGATTTTGCGCGCTAGCGTTGGGCCTAAGCCTGGGCTGGGGGTTCTTTCTTTCCATGACAACTGGATGCCACGTACATGTGCTAGGCCAGAGCTACGTACACAAAGTGCAACTCGTCCAATCAGGGATATGCGATATATGATAATTATGCGTGTTAAAACTAAAATGGCCACACCACTTTCTCTAGAATTGTTTTGTTCGTGACTTCTCAATAAAACCTTCGTGAATTGAATCTTCAGCTGTTTCTGTTGATTTCCATCCTTTAAAGAAAACATTTGTCACGTCGCCGCCTTTTCAAAACAAAAATTATGTAGTCACGAGTTGTTGAAAGTTGTATATTTGGTGGTATGAGTGTTCAAAACCATTTGAACTTCATAGTGTTCGTCTTCTTTTTGACATTCTCTCTTTGCATCGTCCTTAGCTTTTGTTTGGTTCAGGTTGTGCTAAAATATGAAGCCATGAAACTGTGATTAGTTGACTGTTCATGTTACACATTCCACTGACATTCTGGCTTGCACACTATTAATTTCAGATTTCGGTTTTGGCCCATAGTTTCATGTTCCTGTGTGAAAGAATCAAAGATCAACCTCGTGATCATAAAAAAACATTTTTTAGCCCATTTCGTATTTTATAACGAGTCTATGTGCCAATTTTCATTTCTGTACTGTGTTGTTTGATGGTCTGGCACCCAAATTGAAGACGCATGGTCATTTACGGGTAGCATGTCGCCCTCACGAACTGAAACGTACTGTTGGATGCCGCATTTCGATGCACCCTGGACGTCATGCAGTACTTTCCTAACCTTTAAAAGCCATTCTGTACGAGTCTACGCGTCTTGTCCTCTTTCACTCCCTTTCTGATGACCCTCAGTTGCTTTGTTCCTGTTGGACCCTCTTTAATTAAGTTAAACTCATGTACATACATGTATATGGATTATACTGTTGAGGCAACGAACTAAAAACATCGAAAGCAAACAAAACAAAATATGATGTTTCGAGCACAGGTAGCTGTGCAGCTGCTCTAGGTGAAATTCAATCAAAGAGTGCATATTAACCCTTTCCGTGCTAATGACGTCTATAGACGTCATGCGCGCTGTACGCCAAACGACTAATGACAAGGCTTGTCCACAAAATGTTTTCAATAATTTTTGAATTTTGGTTGGATTTTCGCACTTTGAATTTTTTTGGAATTTTGGCCCCATCAGGATTGAATTTTGGCCGTTTTTGGAGAACGACAGTGCTGTCACATCTGGAGAGTACATGTGCTGCTCATTATATTACCAAGTTTGACATGTGAAAACAGTACTTTCAAATACACACCTTTGACCTTTGATCTTTTGACACCCATCCCCGAATTTGGAATCACACAGACACACATGATAAAAGCAGTTTGTGGATTTATTTTAATTTTTTGCTTTTTTTTGGAACTATTGGGTACGAGTACTGTAAAAACCATGGCAACGGATCGATTTTTTTCTGCATTTTGGGGGATTTTTTGAATTTTCTTAAAACATTTTGACTGTTTTTTGCGCTTTTTGAATTTCAATTTTGGACAAAATAATTCACATGATGTGGCCACCCTTACTAATGACGTCTATGGACGTCATGAGATTTGCGCAGTACATCACAGCGCATATATGAGTGTACAAACTTTCGTAACTCCGTCAAAAATAAGTCTATCGCAACAATCGATACACCGTTGGAAAGGTATTGAGCCCAGCTTTCTAGCAATATAAAGTTCTTCGCGATAGGAGAAAGATTGACGGAGCGGCGACGGTGTGAACACAGAATTCACGGCACTGAGCGATCGTGATTTTTTTTGTTCATGCATTCGCAGTTTTCTGTTGCGTGCCAGGGGATTTCCCTTTGGCGCCGCGCATGCGTAATGGACACTAGCGGGAGCATGTGGATCACAGCTTTGCAGCGCAGTTTGAATCGTGAAAATCGGCTGAACTGGAAGAAGAAATCGAAAAAGAATGTGAGATCGAGTTGCTGTGCCTTTCCGAGGCATCGTGAAGTAGTTTCAAGAGGACATAGAAGTTGCACCTCTGTGCATATTGAGAGGAGAGCTACCAGGATGGATTCGCTTGGTCCTGATCTTTTCAACAAGCCCAGGATGACGAAAATCCATCAAGGTGAACTGAATCGAGAGAAAATTCGTTCGAACCTGTGCGCGAAAACGACACCAGGAGAGTCAGGCTGCGTTTACACGACAACGATTGAAAACGATTTGCGTTTACACGACAACGAAGTAGGACCTAAATGGAACGAAATCGTTGCGTTTACTACTATCGTTTACACGACAACGCCCGAAAACGATACCTAAACGGAACGAAATGGAAACGCACTTCAAAGTGTTTTGAAACGTTTTCAAAACGTTTTCAAAACGTTTTCGTTCTCGTGTAAACGGTGAAAACAGTGAAAACGATTGGAAACGGAGAGCGGTCATGGCAACCATTCCGCGCGGGACTATATTTCGCGGGAAATACCTGACCTTTGCGACCACCAGCGCGTACCAACTCCAACTAACGTGTTACTTCCCGCCCTTGCGCCAAGCCAGCACGTACTAACTTCAGCCTGCTCGCCCGTTTTCCGTTTTCGTGTGAACGGTTCAAAACGATTTGCCGTTCTCGTGTAAACGGTTTGAAAACGATTCGAGGCCAGCCCGTTTTCGTTCCGTTTCGTTCCGTTTCGTTTCGTTTCGTCTCCGTATAAACGCAGCCTCAGTGCCCTGGAATGGCAGTTTGCTGGAGTAAAAGGGGTCAGCACGGAAAGGGTTAATATCTGAATTAGGTGCCCCGGGCCTTTCACGACTCTTGATGCCCTGCAATTCGGACAACTACTGCTGGGTGTGTGCAACTAAAAAAACTAGGCCTTGACAGATTATGCTAATATTTTCGTGAAATTATGCTTTTCGCATTGCTGAAAAAATTGCAGAATTATGCTATTTTCATGCTCAAAGTTATCATAATAATTATGCCGCATTATGCTCACATATATCCTGCTACATAATGTATAATGGTTCTGTGCAAAATAACAGGAGAATTTTTTGTAGAGGGCGTTGTACTGTAGTAGCAAAAGTTCAACGGGGTCAACGCACCGTCCGACCTAGCTACGACCGTCACTGATTGTAGTGGACTGGACATGTTCTCAAGGGAGTCGTAAACCTACGACTTCCAGGTGCATCTACTTGTACTTGTAGAACATGTACAACTGTATGGAATTTGATGCGAACAGGCGGAATATTCCAATTTTCTGCGATTCGTATGCAATTTGCCACGAATTATGCGATTATTCGATTTTGGTAGGAATTATGCGAAAAAATATGCTAGCATAATCTGTCAAGGCCTAAAAAAACCCATACTGATCGGTATTGGTACAGGGCGCCAGCTGTTGTCGGATTCAACCTGGATTTCAACATTTACATTACATTTAGACTTTATTTGAAGGATTCTCCAAAAGTAAATGGATACTTATCGGGGGAGTTTCCTGGAAGGGTGGATGAGACGAAAGGGAAGTGAAAAGGGAGAAGGGAAAATAGTACTTAGCAGAATCACTGCTCAGGGAAAACTACAGGTAAAACCACCAGGGAGAAACAGAATACATGACGAGAGCTAGATACGAAAATCAGGAATTCCAGGACCTGGATTGCTTATTTCGCTCAGGTCATTTGACCAAAGATATAGACAACGTTTGCAGCTTTTCTCGTACATTATTATGTTTTACGTGCATTAATACTCACAGAATTTTCAGGGCATCATTATTAGCGAAGATACGGGGAGGAAGCGATGCTATCCTGTTGTTCGTGAAACGTCTGGTAACACAACACAAGGCAATCACAGACTTCGTAAACTGCAGCATGCTTGCCAACCATCCTGATTTGGCCGGGACCATCCCGATATCGAGGGTGGTAATATGCACCCAAAAGTGCTTTAGTCGCAAGCCACACAGCTACATTTGGAAATGTTTCCATACCCTAGGTACATGTACAATGAAACCTGTCAAGGCGATCACTCCGATAAGGCGACCACCTGTTCTAGAAGACCACTGCAACCAGGGGCAAGGGGTGCTATTTCCAGTCAATTGACCCTGGATAAGGAGACCACCTGGTAACAGAGACCCCGTTTTGAAGGTCCCTTGAGCGGTCGTCTTAGACAGGTTTCACTGCAGGTCTTTGTCCCGATCTCAGGCTCGTGATAGAATTTTCACACACAGCATAAAGAATGAGGCCTGCCATGCAGCACCTAGTCCTGGCACATGGGCGAAATGACTCAAATCCTTCATTTTGAAATAATGAAACAATTACACTAAAGTAAGCGATCGCTTAGTGCGTGTAACTCGGAGTTAAAACATGTTGTCCATCCTCTGATAATAGTTTTACATTTTACATAATACTATTATGATTGTTGGTGGCTTGGAAGGGATTTGGGTGTGCTCACCGGAGATGTGTTAGAGCTAGGTGTCGGGTCGTTGACTCTCTCAATAGTCTGTCAGTTTTGTGCGTAGGTATCGCATTTTCTGACTGCTTTTTTGTCTTGTCGAAGTAGTGGACAGTACAACTCATACCCATGTGTTCTTTCTGGTATATTTTATTATAAATATCATTTTGGATTTTTCTATGAAGATGTGCATAATCTACATGTATAGGTACGGATAGATCATAATGAAAAACAAGTGGGATAGACTATGTATGCATCTCTGGTGACAAAGTGGACCTGCAAGATTGGGCGGCAGGCATTCTCGCATTCATCCGTGGGTCAAGGCACGGAAATTCATGTGAATCCCATTTCCAAAGCGTTGCATTCAGGTATCTAGTGTAGTGGAACTGGCGTAGTACGTACTCGGAAGGAGGCAAAGTGGTCATTGGCTGGCCCGGCCCTCTACTTGTCCCGGGCATGGGTGTATTGACCCACACTGAATGACCCACACTGAATGACCCACACTGAAGTATGCTAGGATAAGAAATACGTCAGACACTAAGAAAATTTTTTTTGCCA